AAAATTTTTTTTTGAGAAATTTTAAGAAAATCTTGAAAAAGATCAGTGGAGCTGTGGTGTGGTTCACCAAGTACATTTTAATGGCCTGACTGGGATTAATTGTTCAGAGAATATGGTATTATGTTTGAAGAAATCTTTGTAATTCGTGCTTAATTCAACAACTTGAATTCTCCTCATCTTGGGATTTCTTTTATGATCTGCCATAAAACAAGTCAGAGCTGATTATTACACTTTTATATGACGCACTGCCATATTTCAGGAGCCCTTAAATGTCGCCATAAATCCTCATACTTACAACCATTTTATTCCAAAATGATTATGATAATAATTAAACAAGTGTATATACAATGAACATAGTTTTCTAAATGTGCAATGCACCACCAAAAGAAAACAAAAAATGTGTATAAACTTTTCATAGTTACACATAGAATAAAATTACCAATCGTTGAGTAATGGAAAAACCTGATTAATTAAAACTTAACACAACGCTTGACACAATGATTAAATGACTGCGTTCAAGTGTTGTACTCCATTTTAGATTTATCAAAATCACGATTTTTAACCTTGCCACTCGGTGTCGCTGAATGCTACTCACCGCATCTTCAAGGTCTGAGGTGAGCCTCACTTCTCCTTTGTTCCAATTCACCGTAGTTTCGAGCGTGAGAACTGAGGGAAACATGCACTGATATTAATTTGTGACGAGTCCGTGTGTGTGGAGGTGAATTATGAACACATACACACACACACATACACACTCACCGTTCACCTAAAGTGGTGGGCACAGGCCTGCATGTCTCGGTTTTAAACAGCTGCAGAAATAAACAAACTATAATTATTAGATGTGGAATGGGAACAGGCAGTAAATCCACGGACATGAAATTTGGTGCTGGGGTGAAATCATTTGTGTATGAGGCAGGACACCGTCTAACATGATGAAACTCTCTCTGTGTCCTACCTCTGCTTTAACATGCCCGTTTACGCGAGTTACCGAATGATATATATGACGACGTCATGACTGTTAATATAACGTGTACATTGGTACAACACTGTTAAATACATATTTAATCTGTGTCCTACCTGTGTCCTACCTCTGCTTTAACATGCCCGTTTACGCGAGTTACCGAATGATATATATGACGACGTCATGACTGTTAATATAACGTGTACATTGGTACAACACTGTTAAATACATATTTAATCTGTGTCCTACCTGTGTCCTACCTCTGCTTTAACATGCCCGTTTACGCGAGTTACCGAATGATATATATGACGACGTCATGACTGTTAATATAACGTGTACATTGGTACAACACTGTTAAATACATATTTAATCTGTGTCCTACCTGTGTCCTACCTCTGCTTTAACATGCCCGTTTACGCTAATTACCGAATGATATATATGACGACGTCATGACTGTTAATATAACGTGTACATTGGTACAACACTGTTAAATACATATTTAATTATGCCATTCGTTCAAATGTCTTTTCACGGGATCCAATAAAACTATTGAAAATAATGTTGTTGTTTTGACCTTGTGTTTTTCTAGACATAAGCTGCAAATACGAGGTCAAAAGAATAAGAATTGAGGCATTAAAAATATCACAGCCTGACAACAGCCTGCCCCCTGCTGGACATACACTAACAGCTACTGCTATACCATTCAGTCTGCAACGTCATTCCCCTTGGTGCCATGTTGAAGGGTTTTTTTTTTTCTTTTTTCTTTCATTTTCTGATAGTAAATCAACGTCAGCTGGTTGTTTGACGATCTAGCAAAGCTGGTGATTTGCTGACATGTGATTGGCTGATTGTAACAAGATTTTTTTTAAATGGAACCAGATGACACGATGAAGATTAAAATTAAGCAAAAAAAAAAGTAAAAATAGAATAAGCCATACAAGTGCTGAACCCTCAGTCCATATGTATTGTAGTTCTTACACGTTACAGGTACACGTACGTATAATGCATTACTGACAAGTGATATAAAATGAGCTAAAATGACTAAAGCGTACAGAGAACAGCATATACAAAAGCTTATTTAATCATTCAAGTACCTCTAACTTTATACTTCAGTTCAAAAGCTTCTGTACAAAATGTACAAGAATTGTATCCCATGTTATCCAAAGATTTGCTCAGATATCACCTGGACTAAGAAACAAAAACAAAAAAAAACATTTGACATTGATCAGAGAAAAACTAAAAAACTAAAGAAAAAAAAACAGTGCAACAAATGAATCCACCAAACAAGGATTTCTCATTAAATCTCACAGTGAGACTATATGCAAATATTTGACTGTACTCAATTGTCACTAAAATAAATCACTGAGATGGATGGATGACGCTGTTTGTATATATTCCCTAAATCAGATCAGTTCCCCATAAAAACAGATTAAAATACACTGTTAAAATGAATGATACAGTACAAATAAATTACATTAAGCAAAAAAAATACAGTATAGGGTTATAATTTACCCATATATAATTTATAGGTCAGGTTTCCAACCTGTGATGACTAAGGCTTATTTTAATTCCACTTTATGATGAAGCTAATGGAGGCTAAGAAGCTAAGAAGGTAAAAATCATCAGGACGGAAATGTTTAACATGGAAAGAAGAAGAAAAACATTATCATTGTCACATGTCAGTCTGGTAAACATCAATGGACATATAAGACGAAGAGATTTGTGCAAGTAACAAAGTAAAATTCACATGGACACGTGTGCACAGCTCAGAACAGATACTGGAATTAAAAAAATAAAATAAAAATAGAAACAAAAAGAAAAGTAAAAAGACCAAATGAGGAAGCTCTCTAGGTCCTTGAACCATGTACTTACCCAATCTGACACACTTGAGTTTTTTAAGATCAAAGTCGAAGTGTGACGGACAAAAATCTTTAAAAAAAAACAAACAAAAAAACACACATTCAGACACAGTTCAATTAAAATCCATGTGGTTGAAAATTCCTCTACAAAAATGTACCATTCACTGCCTGGACTCATTTGCACTGAGGAATAAAAGTTAAAAATAAAAATAAAAACATATGGACTTTGCTTTTTTTTTTTTTTTTCAAAAAAACTTCAGTCCAGTTCCTAAACTTGTCAGCCATAACAAAAAATAAAAAAAAAGCTGTCCGGAGGTGGAGGCACTGACTGTTGATGGAGGCAGATGTTTTGGAGCTGAAATGTCCAGGAGACCTTCTCAGTGTCTGTCTAAGTGCTAGTAGACGTCAGTCTGTATGTGCATGTGTGTGTGTGTGTGTGTGCTGTCAAGGTCGCTGCGTGTCGTACTGCTGGTACCGGTTCAGCTTGTCCGGGTCATTGGAGGCCATGTGGGTGAAGTCCTGGAAAATGTCCTGGTAGGTTTCATCCCCTGTGAGGAAGACGATGAGAAAAGACAATGAGAGAAGACATAGAAGAGTGAAGAGGACTGTTTTTATACACAACCATCATATATAAGTAAATAAATAATAAGAAATAAAAAAGTGAATTATTTCTTAGTATTTTCATACATCGCTCTCTGTAAAGAAATTATCTCATAAAATAACCTGGTTCTCGTCACTTAGTTATTTCAGCCAAAAAAAGGAAACAATTTTATGTTTTTAACCACTTGATGGAGACTCACAGCAAAGAGACCTCATCACTACCAGCTCAGGTCACCCTACTCTGCCAAAAGACAAAGGCGACTGAAAACAACTTCTTATTTAGTTTGATAAATCATTTTACTTTCACTGAATTTGCAGTACCACAGCTGGCCACCAGGATTCTTATGGAGAAACAATCGAGTATCTCTTGAGACTATGAGAACGTTATGGATATGTCCTCTACCACAGAATACTTTACAGTATTCCAGTAGTAACACAGCGACTGTAAACGCGTCAGCAGGTTATTAAAACCTGGTTCAACACGTCATGAGAGTTTTACTGTGTTTCAGAGTACAAGTGTAATCAGTGAAAGAAGACAAAGTCGGCCGTACCTGTTAGAGTCTCGGTGTGGCTCGAAATGTGAAAGAGCTCAGCAGAGAGAGAAGAGGATGGATGGAAAAGAAAAGAGGAAGAAGAAGAAGAAGAAGGTTTGTGGAAAAACAGCTAGGGCAGAAACTGGAGAGCGACTCAGGAAGAAAGAGACAAGGCCACAGAGATTAGTTTTCATCAACAACTGTATTCCCTTTTTAAAGTGCAGGCGTTTATGTACAAAAATACAGCTGTGTTGTGTCGGCCTGGGCAGACCAAAGAAAGAAAGGAGGAGAACAGATGAAAGGCACAAACTTCAAAAGGACAGGAAGTGAGGACGGAGGAGTAAAGAATCAGGAGAGGACAACAGTGAGACGCACAGAAGCAGTTTTAGAAATGAAAATAGTGTGGGGGGAAAAATTACATATTGTTTAAATCAGCGTTGAGAAGATAAAGTAAATCAAAAGAAAAATATGTAAAAAATATATATATCAAATAAATACCCTAAAAAAATCCCATTTTAATGTTTGTGACCATTTCACAGAGTGAACGCAGGCTGAGAACCACTGCCTCAATACACTCAACAAGGAAGAAATACTTGAGTTACGGTGAGAGTAATTTAATTAAAAAACAAACTCTCCCATCAGCTCTGAACCTCTCTTACTCTCCTTCATCAGATGATGAAGACACTGATGAAGTGTCTCAGCAGATACTAAATCCTCCCACAAAAATTAAAGCTACTTGAAGATTTTTTTTTCAGTGACATGAAGCACATACTTCAGAGTCCACTACGTCTTTCAATGTCAGTTCTAATGTGTCCACAGTTGACCTGAAGGCAACAACTGTTGACCCCATCAACGTCCCACACCCACACTGGACACTGAGAGAAGAAAAATTCTGTCTAATTTCATTAAATAGAATGAACCTTGGAGCGTCACCAAACCGCAGGAGAACTAGCATTCAATCCAGATGCATCATTATTTTATCAAGTAATTTTTCCCCCCATATCTTCATGTCTCTAACACAGGGAAATGCACAAATGTCTGGTTTCTTTTTCCTGAGAAAATTTGGTCTGAAACTACAATCAGTGACTGCTATTAAATCTGGTGTCTTGCAGATGTTAACTACACACAGTCTACATGTTACACTTCAATTAAAGATTTTGGATGTTGAAAAAGATTTAACCTGACTTTTTTAGTACTACTTAGTATTATTTTATTCTTTAACAAAAAAAGCGATTTAGTGACGTAATGACTTTAACTCTCATTAATCACGGAAACAGTTTACGTTAAAAAATGAATTTAAACAGCGTACGTAGAACCTGTATAACCACTGTGGGATTCCACCATCAGCAGAGGGCGCTGCTCTACCACAATGAACCAGCAGACGTTACCATTTCGTGAAAGTGTTTTAGGATTTATGGCGTCGGGGAAACAAGATAGTAAAAAAAAAAAAAAAAAAGTACCATCCATAACGATGATGAAACTCATCTCCTGCAACAACCTCGTGAGAGTTCAACACAACTACATACCAGTAAAGTGAGGTGATAAATATCTACATACATGTGGATTATTCCTTTAAGGTTATTGCACCAGTATCTGATTTGTTACTCGTTTTGTTTTACAATTCTGGATTAGTCTATGATTGCAGACGAGGAACAAACATGACGACTAAAAAAAAAAAAAAAACTCATTACAATCAATGACTTCTATGACTCCACCTGGTGAAACAGAGTTGCTCTGCTCTTACTATAATGTCAGACTATACAGAAATGCTTTTATACATTCATTTACAACATATGGACTCTACAGTTATAGTACACTATTATCAGTATTTTAGAGAAAAAAAATAGATTTTTTTTAGCTTCATAAAGGGGTAAGACTTGTTGGAGCCTTAAATAAAGGTTCAGTCGTTGCATAACAATTTAACAAGGAATGTGCATAAATTACCTCTGGAAAGTGGAAAATTAAAAAGTCACACAAACCTGTCTGAGACAATAATAAGACACATACTATTTAAAAAAAAAAAAAAAAAAAAACGTCATTCAAAGGTCAGAATTATTGCCGGGGTGTGAACCACATCTTCACATTGAGGTCTGAGCGTCACCGTGGTGGTAGCTACCCCTTTTTGCAAGGACATTGTGACTGGAAGTAACTTCAGTCTCAGAGTTGCATTTTAGAAAACGAGTGAAACTAAAAAAAAAAATTTACTCAAATAGTAAATGAAAAGCAGCGAAGGCTCTGTAGAAAAGAAAATATATTAACACGGTTGTTGTTTTCTATCTTTTCATTTTATGCTCTGTACAATTTTGACATGACAGAAATAGTCACTGAAATGAAAAGGCAGATGTTCCACTTTGGAACAGAAACTGTACAGTAACGTCCAGAGTCCAGGATCTGGACCCTGTCACATTAACACAGTCTAGCACCTGACACTGAACCACACACCAGGGTGCAGTTGTTTTCAGCGGCACCTGGTGGAAGCTGGAAGGTTAAAGGTTAAAGAGAGAGGTGACAGTTAGAGTGGCAGCAAGACGCAGGAGCAAGGGCTGAGACGGACAGAGTTGGACTCAGACATTAACACAGCTGTGATTGGACCAGGACGGAACTCTCTGATTAAAAAAACACTCTGCCGTTTTAAGTGGACTGAGCCCAACTCTGAGACCTAGATTTTAGATTTCCTCTGGTTCAACACTTCTTGGTTTAGAGCAGAGCGGAGCAGAAGACAGTTGTTAGGTTTCATCGAGCTGCAGGCTAATGAACTCCTGCATGCACTTCCTGTACTGCATTTCTGTGGGACTGTTGGTGTTATATTGACCTGACTGGCTGTAGGGACCCTCCGCCTCCCGCATCTCTTCGTTCATCTTCGCAAGTCGTAACCTGGAGAGAAAAACAGAAAAAAATTAGTAAAAGAAATGTTTTTATTTTCTAGAAATAACATTTTGTGGCGAACAAACTTGTGTCTGTTTTTTTATTTTAATTTTAAAGCTAGTTTAAAGTTTTGAGAAAAAGCACCAGGAAATTTAGTATGAGTCACTATTTCTTCGCCTATACTTTTTATAATGTTTTATTTCTACCAGGTCTGTGTTTTCAAATAAAGCTGGAAAAGACAACGTCAACAGCAAAGAAACGCAGATGTGAAGACTTACACAACCTGGAGAGAAAATCAGAAAGAAATTAGTAAAATAAATGTGTTTTTGTTTTCTAGAAATAACATTTTGATACAGCAGTGACACCTTGTGGCGAACAAACTTGTGTCTGGTTTTTTATTTTAATTTTAAACTAGTTAGTAAAAAAAAGTAAGTTATAAGAAAAAGCCTATAATGCCTATAATTTTTTATAATTTTTTATTTCTACCAGGTCTAACAATGTGTTTTCAAATAAAGCTGGAAAAGACAACGTTGTCAACAGCAAAGAAACGCTGATGTGAAGACTTACAATGTGACGATGTCTGCATTGGCCGCCTCCACTGCTATAGTTAGTGGTGTTTTCTCATCAATGTCTGTGGCATTTTGATTCGCTCCTCTTTTTAGGAACAAACACACTTGCCTGAAACACACACAAAATAACCTTAAATACAGATGGTTAAGATAAACAAAAAAAATATATCATGTGGTTTTGACGAGATTGTGAAAGTAGGTTAAAAAAAAAGAAACAGCCCCAGTGTGTCCCAGCATGGTGGCGTGGTGCAGAGGTCCTCGACCCTGAGCGTCCTGTTGGTTCACATTAGCTGCATTCTGAAGCAAAAACTCACAGGTGACCAGTGAGCCCTGAAATTGAATGTTTTAAAAGCAAATTTAATGAAGTCTTTGACTAGAAACCAATCAGCACAAGTGTTTTTTTCCCGACTTCTCTGCTTATCGTGACTTCTCCTGTCACTTTGAATGACAGCAACTGTCTCCAGTCACTTAAAATAGTTCTACTTCAGCACGTCTCTCACTATTTCTCTCCCGCTCACTGGAATTTTTCACACCTCCCTCTGCTGATGTAACAACTGACATTCCTGGAAAATCTCAGCCATACCTCTGTCCTGTACTACTATCACTAATATAACCTATTTTTACTATAGTTCTGCTATAATTCTGTCAAAATCTGTAACCAAAAAAAAAACCAAACTGAACTCACTCCCTGCACGGCCATGATCAGCGGCGTCCTCTTATCATCCTCAGTATTGACCCAGTTGACCTCTGCACCATGGGCCAGTGCCTCTGCCATGTCGGGCAGACTGCGGGAACAGGAGGCCCAGTACAGCTGTAGACCTGGACTGTATTCCTTAGGCTCGTAGAAAACCACCTCCTTACAGGGAGAGGGAGGAGGCAGCGTGGCAGGCATAGCCATGGGTGGAGACTCGGCTGCATCTGAGGAACGACAGTTGGTGTGAGGAGGATGCTTTTTGCACTTCAGACATGGACACTTTGAATGTCAGTTTATCCATATTAAGCATTTGTCTTTGTTTATATTTTTTTACCAGTTGAAGCTCAATGCCCACGGCTCTCACCTGCTTCTACCAAACTGTCATTGGACGGGGTGTTGGCCAACATTTCCCTGCTTCCATCAGCACTGTTTTGGATTCCACTGTCTGCACTTTTTACTGTGAAGCGGAGGATCAGGCTCAATATAAGTGAAGCAGCAAATCACTTGTGTGTAGTAAATCACTTGTGTGTAGTTGTTTGCTGGTTATCCCATTACTGGGAATCATGGAGATGTTCCTAACATTCTGTCAAGTCAATAAACAGGAACCACCGACCGAAACCAACCAAAAACAGATCCTCACCATCACCTCACACTCAGGACCCTTTGAAACCAATAGTACATTAAAATGAAAACAAATGTAAATAACAAACACAGACCCAACCACGTGTGAGGAAACACTTCCAATCTCCCAGGAGGAAAAAAAAACACTTGTTAAACTCTGAGTTCCAGACATGATGCAATAGACCTGGACGAGGGTGGATTGGAGGAGGCGATGAAGGAGAGAGTAAGTCAGTCAGCCAGTAGAGAAGTAAAATAGGAATGAACGGAGGAGGTGGAGAAGCAAGAGAAAACTTAGCCTTTAGTACTTACTGCTCCTGAGCTTGGAGGAGTTGTCAAAGTAGGAGAAGAGTGAATCAAGCTCGTCAGCACAGAAGAGAGAGTCACGGCGAGCCTCCGAGCCACTGGCAACAGCTACGCAAGGGATGATGGGAGTTTGGGAAATTGGTGGGTGAATGGTGTGAATGTTGAGCCAGAGGGGGGGTGGATTGGAAGGATCGAGGGAGGAAGAGGAGGAGGAGGTGTTTTAAAGCAGGAGTTAGTTCAGAAGCACACATCAGCCAAGAGGAGAAAAAAAGTGAGACGAGAGAAACGGCAGAGGAGAAAAGAGTGAAAAGAGCAGTTGAACTAACAGCTGAGCTGACACTGAGAGAGAGAGACAGAGTACGACAGGCAACGGGAAGCAAAGAAGGCTCAGACATATGCTGTCGACACAGAACTACAGTATATGTTTGTCCATGGACGCACACGTCTGCACAGCAAACTGCATATACAAAAGAAGACATGGCTTGTGTTGTCTAGTTTGTATCTTTGTAGGCACAGAAAATCAGGTTGAAACTCATAAAAATGGAAAAAGAATTATTTTTACCAAGGTAAAACTACTTTGGAAGGAAGAAATAGAATTGCCCAGATTCTATTTCTGGGCAATTTTTCTCAATCTGTTCCTCATCCCACCAAAACTGCAGAAACAATTAATTTTAATATTTTCTGTCTGATTACATACATCCCTCAATATTTCCTTTTTTTTGATGTTCACAAGGTTCAGACAGACAGGGAGAGATCTGGAGTGAAGGGTGTTTTTGGTGTTTATCTCTGTTTCACTGACCTGTCTGTCCGGAGGTGTTTGAACCAGGTCGGAGTTTGGGCGTAGGTGGTGGCGGTCTGGGAGGCATGTGATCGGAGCTGCTGCTCAGCCTCTTCTCCTGTTTGCTGAGAGAGACCACTTTGGTGCGAAGCTCCTCGTCAGAAGGTCGACGTACGAACCTACGATCCACGTACTTGGCCTTGATGTAGGCTTCAACCTCATGTCTGTCAGGAAACGGACGAGAATAGTTTTTTTTATTACAAACAGACTCAAAAGCACTGACTTGTGTCAATACATTCTCAGCCATCCAAAACTTTTTTATATATTTTTTAGGACAATCTCTCAGCTCCCAACAATTCCACTGAAAACGAATTAAAGACATAATGAAGATGTCAAGAACTTTTTTTTTTGGTGGGTCCACAGTGTAGCGATAAAAGCTTTAAAATATATATATATAATTTTCTGTGATTTCAGCCAATACCTTGGATCTCCGGGCTGTGGTTTTCTGGCTCCCAGTTCTTCTCTTCGAGCCTCGTAGATTTGGTTGATCGCTCCATTTCCTAATTCACACATTAACTGTGGAGAGACAGCAGGGAAATGAGTCCAACTGGGCAAAAGTATATGAAGAGAGTACATGACACTAACATTCTAACCTTCAGTAGTTCTGGTTCCCATGTGTCCAAAGTCAGAGACCGAACTTTAGAAAAATGCACACCCAGGCTCCTGCAGGTCAACACATTAGACACAGAATGAAACACAAAGCAAAAATAATAAATATTTGTTGACAGTTTCAGTATCAATATCATGATACAATCCCAGTTAAATAATTGCAGCATATGAGAATTCTCAAGTGAAATAAAAAATTTGAACTAAAGGTTACTGGAAACATTTGTGCTGCCAAGTATTTACAACATGTTTTTATGATTCTGTTTAGACTTTTATTCTTTACTGCTTCAAACACATTTAACTCGTTGTTATCATACTGTCCTTCCTGGGCTGCAACAGCAAAGGAGATTTCCACCTCTGTGTATTTTTTTTTACCTGTGAATGCCGGAGCACTGTATACACAGAGTGATGCCCAGATTGATGCTGGCCCAGCGAGGGTCTGGCTGACCACAGTCACAGCAGCAGGAGTTGCCTGGGATGACCAGAACCTTCTGCAGGGCACTCTCTCCCTTCAGCAACCTCTCCTTCTGCTCCCCACCAGAGTCCAAACTCCCCGTGGATGTGGAAGATTTCCTGTCCAGCTTCTAGCATGAGAGAAAAGATAATATAAACAGTCTTCAGAAAAAGGGGAGAGGATTTTATTAAGCTAAGGGCTGAGCAGAAAGGAAACTTAATCCTCGTGGAGACGTGGTGAGAGATAAACATTTGAAAAGGAATTAAGGGAATAAAACCAAGCAGAACAACTTAATTATAAAGCGGTATCATTTTGGGAGTAGAAATATTTATTTCCAGTGTTTTTCCCACTTTTAATAGAGGCTAAGTGGTCTGGGTTTTTTTTCCTTTAGTAACTAGTTTTGAATAGTCTTGATTTCTATATTCATTCCTAATTTTGGTTAAAAAAATGTCTTTAACTGAATGTATAATTAGTATTCAACAGTATAATGTGGACTCATTTTTGTATCTGCTGGCTTGTGTTTGTTTTTTCTCACCTCGCCATCGTCTCCCTTGTCGCGGAAGGCGGAGGCGATGCTGTTCTGGACGGCTTTGATCCAGGCCTGACGCAGCTTCTCCGAGTCTGCCTGCATCATACAACTCCTGTGAGAAAACGCAGAGACATCGCACTACTGTTAGTGCGAGTGGACAAATGTGGTAGAAAAGGTAAACAACCGCAGCAGCTCTACGTGTCTGAGCTCATTAGTTTGATCCGTGGAGACACTTCTGCGACTCCGGGACTCACTTGGTGGGTGACACCACCTCGAAACAGAAGCGCCGCTCTATGTCCTCACAGTGTTTGACTGTACAGAGCCTCAGGTCCTCCACCACCACTGTGGGGTTGTCCTAAGGCAGAGACACAACAACAGCATCGTAAACATTATCACTGAAGCATCAACATCTCTCACACTATGGTAGTTGATATTCTCACAGCATCTATTTTCAGGTTTAACAAGAATGCTCTCCTTATCTGCAGTAGGATATCTTTAAAACCCAAAATAAAAACACACTTTCAAATGCACTAGAAATACACAAGCTTTCTGCAGCAAGACAAAAAGACAATAAACATTTTATTTCCCCACTGTAAGAAAATGTCTTATTGTCCCCTGAAAGAGACAACAATGAGAGCAATGATAATATTTTTCTTTAAAGGACAAGAAAACAAAATGTCTTTATAAATATAGTATAGCGTAGTAGTATATACTGTACGTTTCTTGAGACTCAAGTATCTACACTACACTGTGTCTGATGATGGCTGAAGTTCAGTGAGTCACATGACCTACCTTAAATTTCTTCTGGTACACAAGCTGATTGTTCTGGATGGAAAACCAACGCCTAAAAAAGAAATCACAAATATATATTTGACTAGTTTAACATCAACTGTCCTCCCAAATATAATCCACTGCAGCTAGTCTTCATCGTTTACAAACTGAAGGTGCGTCTCTTGTACCTGTTCCAGGTCTTGAAGGCGTTGCTGGCCCTCTTGAACAGATATCCCTCCATGGCGATGCCGTTGTCTGCGTCCACATTGTACTCCAGCTTTGCGTCGTCATTTGAAAAATCCTACAACAATTTGAAAATTGAGGAGAAGGAAAAGAAACAAGGATTGTGTTAAAATATTGATTCAATGTTTTTATGGTGAAATTGTCAGGTCTAGGAACATCATCTGGGTGTGAGTTTTAACATTAAATTGTAGGCTGTAGAAAAACTACTGCTCACACTGACCTCATGGTTTTTATGGTAAACCAGAAAACAAGAGCCTTAAGACTCAAAATAGTAACGTAAATAAATACCAGATATTACATATGACACACAGCTTCAACATCAATGGGATCATTTTATAAACAAAAAAAAACCTTATGTGTTAAATAAGTTGTTAACAACCTACAAACACACACACACACACACACACCAACACTCAGTGAGTCTAAATCTTTTCATATCACTGTTGTGATGCACAAAAACTACCCTAGGACTCTGGGGTATTCTGGTAGACAGCAAGACACCTCTGAGGAGCAGAGCATCTTCCACGACTTTCACATGTTTCTTTTTCCAGACCGGACTCTGCTCCTGCTCTAACTCACTCAGCTGTGCTGTGCTGTGCTGTGCTGTGTTGTCATGGCCCTGTGCCTGTGGTCTGACTATCTTTAACTACCCGAGCTGCTGCCACACTTTCCCGACACCCGCCCAGCTTTCTCAGTTTCAAGTGAGACTTGATCGCCATTGTGTGTGTGTTTGAGTATGTGTGTGTGTGTGTTGTCCTCGTCGAGAGTCAGTTTACATCTAAGGTCATCATCTCAACATCTACGTCTCTTGCTGTAACTGAGTTTCTTAGTGTTTCGGACTGAGTCATCACGACCATCATGATGAAAAAAAAAACCCAACAAGTAAAATAAACAGTTAAAAATATTATAAAAAGAGTATTATAACAAATAATATAAATACATCCAACAAAAACAATACTTAAAATTCCGAGGTAAACATATCGATGTCAGTCATTATTCATGAGCAGTTTTTTTTATCTGGTGTCAGATACAAGACAGGTAAAAATTTCCAACATTAAGTAATACACGCTGACCTCCTGGCGAAACACTAGCATGATGTCTAAACAAATAATGCTGACGACATGAGCGGACGTTTGTCATCGTCTCATGTTTGCTTCCCGGAAAGAAAGTGCAGAATTCCTCTACACATATTTTCATTACATTCGTATTTATTTCCTCTACAGAGAAAACGTCTACTGACTACAGATGTTGTCAATGCTCTACAGGACACAGCTAGCAGTGAGTCACCTCTGCATGTCCTGATGTCTGATGACCAGCTGGCTAAGAAACGCCAGAAGGCAACAACTAAGTATAACTTTTTCAAGGATGTAATCTTCCTTCTGACTTTTAGGATAAGTTTTATTATTTTAACCAGTAAATGTAAATCATAAATCCTGATATTAAAAACAATTTACAGCACCCCCAGAGAATAATAAACAGAGGTTACGTGCTCTAATATTTTTCCCAAAAAACTTCAAAAACGTCCACCCTTTGATTTTAGTTCAACTCACAATACAACACCAAATTCTTCTGCATGACATGCAGTGGCCCAGTGAGTTTATTTTTAAGTAACCCAAGAGAATAAAATACATCTATCAAAAGCTGACGGCTGAGGAGATAAAAAAAAAGTAGCTTTTGATTTTCAACAACCATTTGAAGAGAGGAGAGCAATTCCATGACATTGGTCTCTGATTGCACTTTTATCTCCGAGGTCATCCTTATAGATGTGTCACAATCCTTCTGTATTTCTTGTGTGAGTTACTAATTATCTGTGACAACTAAAAAAAAAACATCAAACATTTAAAGAGAGCTAATGCTCAAGGTATTAGCAGGGTGTTTGCTGTTAGTTCCTGCAACATTTAAGCATTAGCATTGAATACATTTGACAACAGGGGTGTTTTGACTCAACATCTAAGAACTACAGTGTGATAGCACCCTCCAAAGCAACAGAGTACGACTGTATCTCACAGCAGTTCAAAAAGTTCACAGTGCAACACGGCGGTCACTGACAGCAGGATATTTATATGAATCATGCTGCATGATCAAAATGTGCACAAAACAGATGATGCTGGTGCAAACAAGTCAAACACTGCAATGCAGTCTCTTTATGCACGGACAGGTCAGCAAAACGGTGGAGGTGAACGACACGGACAGGTAGGGTTACAAAAACGGAAGTCAGATGGAAAGAAAAAAAAATCGATGCAGTGACTCTACGTACGGAGGTCGACCTCCACGCACAAAAGTTGCGGCAGTCTGGTAAAAAGTCAGGTTCAGTCATCTCCTAAAACATTACATAAAGAGTGTCAACATTCAACTATCAGAGGGACTTAAAAAGAGACACATTCACACTGAACAACACAAACACAAAACTGACTACAGTGACAGTGTCAATGGACAGAAACTCAGTCCAGCTCTTTGTTCCACTCACCAGATACCACACGTAGTGAAAGCGGCTGAAAATCTTCATTTTGTGATTGTTTCCAGAATCTTCGTTAAACCCTAATGTTTACCTCAGGAGCATCTCAGTGACAGTGTGGCGCGATAGTCAACGACACTCTTCCCTCGCCTCCACCTCCTCCTCCTCCTCCTCCTCCTCCTCTTCTACTCTGTACATGCCAATCTTAAGTTTCATCACAGGTTCTGGTACTCCTCCTCCTGACTTCAAGCTGATCACTTTGCATGTACAGTAGGTGTGTGTGCACATGGGCATGTACTCTGTTTGTATGTGATGGGTTTCAATTAGAATCAGAATGAAAAAATGCCTCACTTTATCTTTCTCGCTATAAGTATCATTGACGTTCTTAACTCGAGAACGATGGTCGTGTTTGTTTTTTACTTCACATCCCTCTCAGTCTCCAACCGCCCTGACGCCACCGACTCCTGTTTAATGTCTTTACAGGAGCTGGCTGCAGGAGTGAGCTGCTTCGTGCTCACCCCTGCTAATGCTGAATAATTCACAAGGTCACATAGGCACCACCTCAAACCCGCTCCTTCAACTCCCACCGGGGCGGACTGTTTCATCAATACAAAGATAATGAGACGGTTTTATGAGCAAACACAAATAAGGAAGACGATATGCACAGGACTGACACAAGCACACATAAATAAAAATGAGCCCTGGGGGAGCAACAACTGAAGGTTTTACAGTCAAATGACACAAAACAACACGCAGAAAAAAATGTCGATGCAGCGATGTGACCGCAAGATCCTTTACAAAATTTAAATATCGACTAATACGTATTTCAGCCAGGTCAATTACCTCATTAATCAACTCTTCTAATCAAGATAGTATCATAATATATCTCTGAAATGACTTAAAGTTAAACCAAAAAGTATAGAATAAAGGTAGTGTGGGAGAAAGAAGAATTATATTTAAAAAAATTATACATATATATATATAAATCAAATGAAAAAGCAAGAAAAGTTAGAAAAAAAGGGGTGAGATTAAGAGCTTACCTGCAGAGCAGCCTGTACAGAGTAGGAAAAGATGGAAGGAAAAGAGTTGGAAAAAGCAGGAAAAGAGGAGACAGTTAGATTGGAACGTAAACAGCAGGATGTAACAGTGAAGCAAGAGACAATATAAAAATAGGATCAAATAAATGGAGCGAGAAGAGGCTGAGGATAGGCTGTCCTTGTAAAGTGCTCATACTGTAGAGCTCTCAGAGCTGGGCTTCAACAAAACTGTGTTGTGTTGTTGGTTGTTAATAAGCAGCGATTTAAAAAAATGGAGATCTTTGGTACCCAATTTTTATTTATCTACCTTGGCCAAAATACTGCGGTGAGGATGGGAGGCAGCTGAAACAGAAGCCTGTGTGTTTGGAGACAGGTTCCTGTCAGCTGTCAATAATGCATGGTCATGTGTAGATGAGCTCATCCACTGGAATCACCTGACACTGAGGTCAGAATACTTCCTTCATTTATGCAGACGGTAAACAACTTCAGCACATGAGTATTTTAACTTTAACCTAACTAACTTTTTTAAAAATTATATATTGTTTATATAATTTTTAAGAAGTGCCTTCTCATTGGACCGCCTGTTGCCTCTGACAGTCTAAACTGACCAATGGTGTAATGTGAGGGTGTTTCTATGACATGTCCACAGTGAATCCCACTCTCACCCACCGACCGCTGGTATTGGCTACAGCCTCAACCAATGACTATACGGCTTAGGCAGTAGAAACACTCTGAATCACAGACATTATTTTTTAAATGAGAATCAAGCAAATGTTATTAAATGTTATTTTTCTCGTAAAGCCCTCAATTAACTATTGTTTTGATGCGAGAGTCAAGTGCTAATAACGACTGTTTTTTCCCACTGTATTTTCCACATTACTGGGTTAAAAGTGGCACAATATTTTGAGGGTGTGAGTGTGTGAAAGGCTGTACTTTTTGCTGGATGGTGGAGTGTTTCTGCTCCATGTCTCTCTTTTCTTTGGCACCATCCACCACCAGCTGGTCCAACTGCAAGACACAGAACAACAAATTAGTCATGTCCACGTATATTTGAATCAGGAAACACTAAGATAACTAAAGACAAAGTTGCACCCATCAGTTTCCTTGTGTTTCTTTATACTTGGACTGTTATATATATATATGAACAATTGACGTTTCTGAAAATAAACTATTTAAATTAAAGGACTTCTTGGAGCTTAAAAATGTATTTACAGTGAAATTACACGTGTGTTCCCTAATAACCTGCTGCTACACTTTGAATAAAAACAATCGTTATTTAATTTTAGGTCAATATCGCTTAAGAAAACTGGGAATTCCATTCTTCGTAAACAACCAAGTGTTCAAAAATAAACATACAGTATACAGTACAGTTAGTGGTTTGTTTGAATCACTTTTTTATATAGAAAAGAAAACCACTGAAAGAAACACATCTGTGACAGTGTGCAACAATGACGCCATATTGAAAAATGTGGGTGCATTGTTACCAAAACATTAGCCGTGTTCATTATTTGCTTTTAAATGCCTGCGGTGCTTTTTAAATGCAACAGGAACCACAACTAGAAGAAGCTAATGGGCCACTCACACTGATGGCTCTCAGACAAAAATGCAGCAAATGACAACAAACACTTTACGTTCTTTTTCGACAGAGACTGAAGTTGAACAGCCTGGATTTAGTTAAAAATAAATAAATAAAAAAAGCTGCTCACAAGGACATTATTATTCTGCTATCTGATTTACACTGAGAAAATACCAGCATTTCAGGACTTTTTTATTTAGTTTGGAGGGGAAATGGGTGGAAACAAGAGCAGCGGGTTGATAGCATCAGATGGAAAATGTTTTTTTCTCATCACACCAAAACAACTAGACTCGACTCCAGTCCAGTCCAGTCCAGTCCAGGTTGTCTACTTGTCTATCTATAATAACAGGGATGTGTATGAGAGCGTTGTTCTCCACATATTTTACATCTTATCTTACTCACTGTGGAGATCGTACTGACAACGTCAGGTCTCAAACATTACAGTCAGTCTGCCTTTGTTTGTCGCCCAGAGTAAAGAGCACTAAGATCTGTCCTGACAAGTAACTGTGATGACAATCTGAGTGAATCATGGAAAAGTTACAAAATGTCCCATGGAATGAAAACAAGAAAAAAGAAAATTATAAACAGCTCAGCTGTGAGCAGCTTTGTCATGGAAATAGATGGACATTTTTAGTAGCCGGGAATTCATAAAAGCTACATATTTCATTTAAGTCATTATGTTGTTGTAAAATAAACTCGTGGAGAATTCCAGAAATGTTGGCTTATCTTTCCAGTCCCAGTGTGGGTTCTGTATCTAAGACAAACAACCACATATTTTTCAAATCTCATGGTTTTTCCGGCATCCTCTCAGATTTACCCTCTTCCTGTGTTTTTGTCTTTAACACCATTTAGTCCCTCATTTGTGTCCTGTTCTTAGAAGAACCCAAACCACAGTGTGTCGATTTTCACTTTAAAACCACCACCTCACATGTTACATTTAGCGAGTATTTTTCACTTCACAATTGTACAACTGTGAAACAAATCTTTTACTGATATCTGCATTTCTGCACATGGAAGAATATATGTTTTTATGAAGTGTTGTATCGTGCAAAAAAAAAATTGGACTGTCAGACACAATCATTTTACTTATTAATAAAAAACAAGGTAGATGGCATTAATTAATTACAATTGTTTTTAAAAAATGAACTTTTTTAACCGTACATACAAGATTCAGATTATACTCTATTTGCCTAAAAACTGCAACTACGTAGGATTGTGACCCTGATCTCTTTCTGACAGCATCAAGTGACAATTATCAGACCTGTTGACAGCTCCTCCACACCTCCCTGCAGAGCCGCTCCACCTTTTTCAGCTTCATGATGCAAACAGAACAAATAATCCAGTTTAGTTCTGATCCTGTTGGACTTGCAGCTCTGAATTCAGTTGAACGGAGTTGAAAACACAGCTTTCTCTCCTCTCTCTCCTCACTGTTCTGGGTCTTGATCTCTTCTGTCCTTCTTCTCACACAATCCTTGCTTTTCCTGTGAGTTCTGATGCCACAGACTTACAACCCATAGTTTTCCATTCTGTTTCAATCACTTCAAGGAACATTACATTGTCTCCTGTTACTTCCCAAAATTAGCTCGAAGCTTTTCTCCCCACTCCTCGATTGTTACTATCAGTTTCCTGATAGTACCAACATCAAATGGTTTCAACTCCAGAGCAGGGGATTTAGAAACCACAGTCTTTATGTCGGTCCAATTTGGAGAGCAGCCGTCTTCTATCTTCAGTTCTGGTTGTCCCTATTTAGGTTTGTCAAATTAAGAAACATTGTTTAATTCCTGTATGTAATTTTGGGTTGGTTCACCAGTCAGAAAAACATGTTTCCAAACTCCACTCGGCATCTTCTGAACTTCTACATCCTTGCCACAACTCTTTCTTTTCTCTTGGTCTTGCATCTTCATCAGCGATGTGTTTCTTTCTAGCGTCCACTCATCCGTCAAACCACACAGTGAACATGACTGAAGAAAAATCCCTTTTCCATCCAGCTGGTTACTCTCTTCCTCATTCCTTCTGACTGTAGCAGCAGCAGCAGCAGCTCCTCTACGATAATCATCTTAAAGACACGTTCAGCCCATCCTCTGGCTCAAAGGGAAGGCGCTGTTTATCAGAGGACTCACACGGACAGGGCTCAGACAAATGCACTCACAGGTTGTCTGAGAGTAAAAGTCTAAAGGATCAGGATCAGGGTAGAGTTGAACAGCCTCCAAAAACGTGACTGTAAACCCAAGGGCTCTTTTCTAAACACGTGAGTGTTGATATGAAGTTTTATTTTAGTCTCTTCTTGAGTTGGTTTTCAGCTCCAAAGCCAAACATTTAAACTATACAACAATACTCTTCTTGTCTCCATTAGCAAACCTGTTTATACAAGACCACGCAGTGGAGTTTAAACATGGCTGACAGTTGTTCTTTCCTCCACTAAAGATATTTTTCCTGCTTACGTTACACGAATTAATATCAGTTTGTTTTGACTAAACCAGAGGGGGCATTGTTTGATTTGACAAGAATAAATATATATGAAATGAAAGCAAATTAAACTGGGGAATTAGAACTGAAATAATATCTATTTGCTTAAAAGAAATAATAAACATATATAGATTAGATTCGATGAGTTTTACATCTTTTCACACTGGTCCATGACCATTACATATATACACATGCACAAAATGTAAATTTCACATCAAATGTCTATTTTACAACAGACTGAATTCAAACAGAAACATTCTGTTCTCCAAAAGGCACAACTGTGTTTGTGTAACTCAAAAATAACAGACTTGAGGAGGCCACACAGTGGGAGGTTGGTAAGTGCTCTTGCCATACAGCAAGATGACGGTAACTGCAGAGTTTTTTATGTTTTTCCTTTGTGTGTGTGAGTTCTCCCCCAGGTACTCTGGTTTCCTCCCACATTCCACAAACATGAACATTGGGGATTGGGTTAACTGGACACTCTACAGTCACCATAGGCATTAGTGTGAATTTTAACAGTTGTTTGTCGCTCTATGTGTCAGCAAGGGACTCCACCCTGAGCCCCTCACCCCACAACTACTGGGATCAGCTCCAGGCTTTTGTTTTACGAAGTACAAGGACATTTTTAGTAGTAGGTTAGGCCTAAACTTAACTTAGCCATACAAAAAAAAATCTGCAGTTTTTCTTATGAAAGCTAAACCTACAAAACCAAATGTTTATTTTCACTGAACACGAATAAAGAAAATTCTGTTCTGAACTGACAGATTTCTCCTTTAAGACACCTGCTGTTCAGACTCTTGCCGACTGCTTCACTGAGGCCATCTCTCCAGTCTGCCAGATTGCTGCCTGCTTAGTGTCAGCATGAAGCCAACGTCCCAAAAATAAAACTCCTCTTTATTTATTTATTTATATGTTGTTTTTTTTGCTCTGAAATCTAACTCATTATGTTCAACTGACACAAATTTACAGATGTTGCGATATTTAATATGTCCAAAGGTAAAGCACACGGCACTTGTGTCACATTTAAATGTCGTGCGGTGCTGCGGCACGTACCTGTCCTCCGAGCTGTTTCATGAGCGGCTGTAGTTCACTGAAGAGGTCATATCCCTGATGGAAGAACGTCAAGTGGGCGTACATGAAGGACAGCATCTGAAAGAAAACACAGTGATGAGTTGGAAACACCACAATGAAATGATGATGTAAAGGTCACTGGGCAGGATTAAAAAAACGACTCACGGATTTCAAGATTTCCGATCTTCTTTTGGATTGTAGCACATTAATCTGCAATGAGACAAAAAAAGACAGTTTTAAAGCTACTCTGTTGTTGACGAGTAAACACAACAAATACGGTCTGTAAAAAAAAAAAAAAATGAACACAACAAATAATGTTTGTAAAAAAAAAAAGACTATAGGAAAGAGACTGTTGCAGTTACATACTAACAAAAGAGACAATGAAAAACAACTCTTTAGAAAAGACTTTGTAACCGCAGTCGTGAAGGCAAGCGTGAAATTAACAGTGCTGAAGTCCAAAATACAAGAGATGGTGAGCAGCAGTCCACAAACAGGGCACCAGAGGGAGCCCTGAGTCTCATGTTTGACAGGCAGACACAGCTGCAGTAGCTGCACTACATTGTCCTGCTGCATTCAGTGTCCCCTCCTTTCAGCTTCATGTTTGTTTGTGTGTGCTTGGGTGTCATTCTTCCCTCTCCACCGTTCATCACCACAATGTGCTGCTCTTCTATCCCACCCACGAGATAGTTTAATGTTAGTCTGAGAAAATCTATGGCTCGTTGTACATGAGAAGAAATAACACTCGGGTAATTGAACATGACACAGAGAAAAAAGAAAAAAAAAAGTGTTTGCAGATTGGCCTGCTGGGTGTGGTGAATGAATACGGTCCCTATGAACAGCAGAGAAGCCACTGATTTGACTTTTTATCACTGTGCTTATGGATAAACACAAGGTTGGTCCACACACTGTGAAGCAGCAAAGAACAGAAATTCAAACGCTTGTTGTGGACAGTTGTGTTTATATTGGCGTTGGATTTTAAGGACCTTTTCCCTAGCAACTTAAACCACACTTGTATTTATACGCAGATGTAACTCCCACTCAGAGGAGGAAGTTTACTTTTCCAACTGCCAACCCTGGAGACGGATGCATCTCCAACGTACGAAAGTCTCCTCGTTTTCCTGATCACAGTCAGACTTTTACTGCAGCACGCCTGTCGAAAATGACAAAGTGCAAATGTGGTATCAAACACAAAAGCCACAGGGGGAAATTTAAGAGTGTTTGGGTGGTAATTGTTTGTTTGGATGTAGTAATTGCACATTTGTAGGACTGCAAGTACACAACACTGGAGGGAAACTCTGGCCTAAATTAGTTCCAATTTAGTTGCGGCTAATGTCAGGTTTACATCGGTGTTTTTTATCCTGGCCAAAATAAACCTGATATTTAGGGTGTAGTGTTTCTACGTGGCACAGCAGCGTCAAACACACATACACCATCCTTAAACTGTCATGAGCCAAGATGGCTAACAACCCCTCTCCTATATTTTCTACTCCCACTAACATCTTGCCCGTCACTGTAAACTCGTGCACAGTATAATTAGGCGAAACCTCCACAAAAACAATCCAAAAAGAGCCAAAAAAATAAAGCTTAAATCAGGCCCCAGCTTTTGCCTGCGTGCGGCGATGCACAGGATAGCTGCATTAGAAAACTGCTGACACCAGGAGCCGACATGTAAATCTTTAGCGGAGTCCCATTAAAATCAGCTGTGCTGGACATTAGGGTTATAGATTTCCATTAAGGACACGAGCAGGCGAGATAGGAACTCAACTAATTTCTCGCAGCCAGCCTTGATTTAATGAGCCAGTGATTACAGTAGGGCCACTTGGAAAAAAAGTGATGAACCCAATTTAAATTGTACTTTCAGGGGATCATTTCACTATCTAATTTTGGAGCAAAGTACAACCATGAAAATCTGCTCTTATGCTTTGAAGGAAGGTCTAATAAAAGACCTTCCTCTTTCTGAGCTCTGTTAAAGCCCAGAAAGATCATTTTTGTCAGGTTTAATTTGTCCAGTGAGGGGCGCAGCTGATGTATTCACCACCTTAAGGATATTTTAGAAAGCCAAGATAGTCAAGTTTTTTTTCCAGAAAAACCACAAGAACACATCTGATCTTTCCTAAAACCTTAACTCTCTGCTTTGGTGCTTAACTCGGATGAGACATGGAAGAAAAACCGTTGGACAAAACAGAACCAAAATACAGCTGAGGGTCAGTCTGATCTGCACCTGTCAGCTATTTCTAACCTGAGTCAGCATATTCACTTCCACTTTCAATATACATGTGCAGCTCAGCCTTCTTGAGAGACTTTTTTTTTTTATTACATATTCTTGTAAGTCAGCAACATATGCTTTCATATGTTACACAACACACTCCATCTCCAGGTTTTCTTACCAGAACTAGAAATGCAGAACAAAATGCACCCCCCAAAAAATCACCCAAAAGTAATAAACAATTATTTAAGTTAAAAATAAATATATAAATGATGACTCAGCTCACTTTCTGTCCTCAAATCACGGAATGAAACACTGTTAAAAAATATCACAATGACGACATGTTCTATTAGAGCGTGGACTCTGACACTGGTTATGGCCCAGATCATTGGACGGCAGGAGATCATAAAATAAAAAATCATGTTTGCTGTTATGTATTGTCTACATGAAAAAAAATTAAATTGTTAAAAAAAAAATATATATAACAAGTTTTTTGTGATATGCCAAAACATGCAACATAAACTAACATTTCTTTTCTTTTTGCCACACTCACGGTCCTACCTGTAAGACGTAGTCGAGGACGATGTGTCGGAAGCACTTGCGCGTGGCGGTGAGGATGTTGGTGGCCTCCTCCACCTCGTGCTGCTTGTTGCGTGGCGCTTGGGCATTTTTAATCAGCGCGCCCTCCTTCTCCTCACTGACTTTATCAAACTGCTTCTTGGCTTCTTTGAACTTTCTCAGGTCACTGGCAAACAGAAGATGTTAAATCATCAACTTTTTCTCAAGATTGAAATAAATCCTACGTTCTGTCTCTTTAAAGGATTTGCTTCTGTTAAATTTTTAGGAATATAATATTGTAAAACCCTCCAAGGAAAATGTTATGTTTCATGTTCCCTGTCTTTGGAATGCCAACAGTCACATATAAGAGAGTACTAATGCTGCTTACGTGAGTGTGCATTTAAGTCCCATTGTGCCAAAAGCAAAAATTCCTAATCCTTATAATGGGACGCAGCAAAAGCCCTGCAGTGCTTACAGTGCAGCTGTGCCAAGTATCAAGAATTCAATGCTACACTTAGAGGTGAAATAGGAGAAAAACTAAACCGAATTCTGGATCAGGTTAAAACACAAACAAGAACAGAGTTGAGAGAAAATTGATGTATTTGTGTCATGGATGTATTTAAGCCATGTATATCCAAAGTTGTCTCTGAGCTGATTTATGAATTACAAGCTATGTTATATTTATCTTATATTTGTCAAGTACTCAGAATTTTTAAATGAACCCACATTTTTGATCAGTGACCTAGGTTTCAGTGTGTTCATGTGCAAAGCCAGCATTATGTCTTCATAGTCAGTTATTATGCGAGCTAATACTCACTCTTTGACAAAGGTTTGGAGCTGGGTCTTGATCGATCTCTGGGCCTGGTCAAATAATATCTGTGGAGAGAAAAAAAAAGGTATAACGACTGACTTTTTTCTTGAATACTGCTATTTGAATTTAGTTAAACTAAGAATAATCTAAATTCAAGATCACACAAGGTCTGCTAGTCAGCATTCGGCAGCTACCCTCAGGAGAATTGCGTTAACATCAGAAGGGGGCAATTTTGCTGCTTCATTATATCAATCAGCTGACTCTGTAAACTCCCCTCGTGTAGGTAAACATCAGAAATGACGACATCCATTTACTCCTGGATGTGAGTCACATCCCCATTAACCTAAATGCCTTCTTAAAAGCCAGATCCCACGCAAGGCTGCCTGAAAAACACTTGTCTCTTAAAAAGACCGCTCTGATTCCATGACCAGATGCGACATCATGGGGTGCGTAGCTGAGAGAGCGAACAAGTGGAAAACAGATTGAGCGGTGTGTTAGAGTGAATCATGTGATGATACACTGCAGAGTTGTAAAACCTGAAAATCTGACAGTCAGCTGCCGTGACCAGTCTCCACTGTTGAGTCAGTGGCTCCTGGAAGATTTTAAGGGACCAGTCAGGGGAGACAATAATCTTGAAGACTTCCATGGAGACACGACAAAAGACAACACGAGCTGTGGTTCACTCTGCTCCACCATTACATGTTTATGAGTGTCTTTATGAGTAGAAAATGACAAACAAAGAAGCAGATTTAACTAGTTAAATGGACTAATTAGATTAGGCCTTGTTTGTAGGAACGTGAGTGGATATTGTTAAAAAAAAATCCTTCGGCTTGAGAGCATTTTCCATCCATTCATCTTCTAGCACTTTCTTCTGTTCAGGAAGGAACTGGAGTCAATGGGTGAGGACAGGCCCCATCCTGGACAGTTCACCAGTCCATCACAGGGACACACATGAATAACAACCATTTACACCAACATTTATACTACTATAAATGTCTATTTATAATAATTTTGACTCATCTGAAGGTAAATTAAAAAAGCACAACTTTAGACATTGGTTTAATATTTTGTAAATTAATTGATTTCTGACTCATCTGAAGGTCAATTAAAAAAGCACAACTTTAAACATTTTTAGTTTAATATTTTGTAAATTAATTGATTTCACTTGTGTTTATATTTTAAATATGCAGCAGAACCTAGGTTTAAAAAACATTTATGTACAATTTTAGATTTTTGAGATTCTATATATATATATGAATTTGAATTGTCAAGTCCCTAGCAGGTAGTACACACTGGCAAATAACAGAACTAGTTTATTGGATTTTTTTAAGAGATATGTATAAATTTTTATTTTTGTCTACGTACTTCCGTTTCTTTCCTGCAGTAAATAAAACCCCCGACAGATAGGAAGTTTTCCCAGACTGTCTGGCCAGCACAGCCTGACGACACACAGCTGTCCACACATACGTATTAAAGAAAGCACATTTAATTCCACCAAGCAGTCAGAACGTACCGTGTGATAGTTGATCATTTCTTGCAGACTCTCTGCAAACTTTGTGAGACTGGACTGTGGTGAAAAAGGGGACAATGAGAAAGAAAAGAAAAATCAGTGACTTTTTTTTTTAAACCCAGACAGAATAAAACAACAACATGTAATGTTTAAGAGTAGGCTAGGCCAAATTATATAGTGAAAGACATTAAAATTTACTTTAGATGCTTTAAACTGTGTCCAGGCTGCACAGACGCAGGCCGACGCAGATGAACATGTCTACATGGGAGTCTTTTTTTAGAAGGCACAATAGGACTCAGGAAGGAATTCCTTTGGTTTAGTTACTCTCAAAATGCAAGAAGTGGCTTTCGTTCAAACCCAAGGGAGAGGCAGTGGACAAATTACACAAAGAGACAGAGAGGAAATGCTCGCCTCGACACGCAAAATACATGTGAGAAAACAAAACATCTGGGCTCTCCAAGAGTAAAAAAGACATGTTTTTTTGATAAACCCTAACCCTGACCCTAACCCTGATTGATTTAATTAAGGTTTTATCTTTGGTTAAAAAAAGACATTTCAGAGAAGAACACTGTAATTCATGACAACACAGGAAAATACCATGTTCTTTAAGTTGGTAAACGTTGAAAGTAAAACACATGGTTTGGTCAGTTCTCTGAAATGTTAAAATTTCAAAGAAAAACCAACACACACAACCAGTGCAAACATATCAATGGCTAATTTTCTCTAGGGAACACAGTCATATTGTTTTTTCCTGTTTACCTCGATGACCTCATCTTTGGTGGACTGCTGGGCCAACTCCCGGATCCCACTTACAAACTGCTTGTTGGCTGCATTGTAGGCTTTTCCAGCATCAATCATTCCAATACACAACTTCACCAACTACAGAGGATAAAACACAGAATAACAATAGCTTAGAGGAAAATAAAAATCAGGATAAACAAATTAAAACAATGTGGTTACTAATAAGGAGTCTGTGAGGATTCAGCAACACTGAATACATGACTAAATGTACAGTTCATGTCTTCGTTGTGAGTGAAAACAGACCAGTTATCTCTCCCCTGGGTAGAGATAAGAGTCAGGGCTGGTGAGTGAACAGAAGGGCGGTAGCGAGGGTAGAATAAGACTGTAGAGAGAACCTGCTGTGATGTACGGCTTGGAGACAGTGACGAAGTCTACATGACAGGAGGGTGAGCTGGAGGTGGTCGAGATTCAGGTGATAGAGACCAGAGAAAATGATCAGATCAGAAAGACAATTAAAGTTGAGCCGTTTTGCTTTGCAAATTGGTGCCGTCACAGACAAATTCTCCAGATCCTTCTTTTCTGTTGCAAAAGCAGAAGTGAGTAATGTGTGTTGGGTGTAGGAGGAGGGTGTCATCTTTGAAAGTGTAGGTCCAGGAACAATGTACTGTGATATTTCAAGCTTCAAGAACTCTTCACCCACTCTTTAAACAAGTATTAGTTACTAAACATTAACTCTTTCTTTGGTCAAGTTACTGTGATAACGATAAGTCAAAATGAACCATGACACAGCACAGTATGACTGTGAATGTAACTTGATGCAGACACAGGAAATAGCCTGGAGATGTGAAGAAACATTTACAGCATGGGCTTCCTGAGAGTTAGGTTTTATTTAGAAAGTTGAGACTTTGAAACTTCAGTGTGGACACAGTGTCTTAGAAAAAGCAACGGCAAACGCATACAAACTATAGCTCACTATTCTCTCTTTACAGATTACGAGAGTTTTTTTTTCTAGTTCCCTCTAAATGTTTTTTTATCCCTCAGTATGCAGTTGTCTTTTTAATAATCATCACCAAGTCTTTGAGAATAAACAAGTCTTTTGTGGGAAGCTTATGTCATTGATTTTATATGAAAAGGGAACAAATACAAATGTGAAAAACAAAAGTGAGAAGTACAACACTCTCTGTCACAGATTGTGCAATGTTGGACATCACCAACAGGATTATTAGCAAAATAAAGCCATCTTCAGCAGAGATAGCACTTACTATAGAATTGTTGTGGTGTTAAACCGTGGCTGAAACAACCTCAAAAGCCTCAAAAGCCTCTGAAACTCAATTTTTCAGCCACCAGATAATGTAATTTTGGCCACCAAGAACTAAAAATAATCCTGCCGTACATAGACACCTGTTTAAAAAAGGTCTTTCAAATAATGGGGGGTGTTTATTAGGGTACATAAACGGGTAGAGTATCATTGTCTTCAGCTCCAATTCTAAAGCAGTGGCAGCAATAATGAAGTAGCAGCTACTGCTTATAGAACATTGGAAGCTTTGATGAATATGTGATCAGTTCTGTGTTAAGAATTACTAAGAGTATGTAGCGTAAATAAGACTTTGTGGGGAAAATGCTCCACATATTTCTCAGCATATTTCGTGAAGTACCAGCAGATGTACATTGTCTACATTCTAGTCTTACTCAGAGACGACAACGAGGACGAAGCCTTAGACCAGTTTGCAGTTACGGAATGGAATCTGCAGCCAATGGTTCACGCAGAAGAACAAATGAGCAAACAAACAATGTTTTTCATGGGCGGTACTCACTTTGTCCAGCTTTGATTCCAACTCGCACACATCCCCCTCTACTTCCTCTATGGTGGCTCTGTGGAGGCAGAAAACAAGAAAGTAATGAAACAGACTGCAGTTATGACACTATATCACTGTACATGAGTATGATTAAGAGGTGTGAATACGCAGAATAACACTGATGGGGAATCATTATGTGAAGAAAAATCTTACATGTCATGAAACATGTAACTACTTGTATAAAACACCCAGATTATAGGAGTTGGATTCAAGATTCAAAAGTATCTTTGTCACGTAATCGGTTGTACACGTAAAACGTAAACACCGTATGAACTGTGCATATTCAAAATAGTCTAATGACTAAAGGACATAGATACAAAAGTATATAACGACTAAAGGACATAGATACAAAAGTATAACAAAATTAAGTGTAGTAGAAATAAAGTGAAAGACCGTGACAGTACCGTGACAGCAAGCACGTCTTTTTTTTTACAAATAACAACAAACTATAGTCAGTGTCTTAGTACCGTGACAGCAAGCACATCTTTTTTTTACAAATAACAACAAACTATATATATAATGAAAACTCTGACAGTAACACATGCCATTGTGTAGTTGTGAAGTGATATGACAAACACAAGGAGGCACAGACACCATTAGAAGGCACCCAAACTGAGAGCTGCCATTTTGGGTAATGCCGCAGGAGTGGAGTCAGGTTTGGCACGGAGCCCTGACAAACCTGACAAAGCACTGCTCCGCTCCCCACAGTATCAGCAGCCTTCCAGTCTCAGCAGTGCCAGGGACCGAGGAGCAGCCTTACTGGACTCATTTCTACTCACTTATGTGACGAAATACACACATTTCCTCTGCCCTTTTTTTTTTTAAACTCTTGAAATAGTGAGTGATAAGAAAAAGAAATATTCTTTTCAACACTACAGAGAAGGCAGTACAAAGGAAAAGACCTTTAATCACGTCGCATTAGGGTATTTTTATTTCACACCGCACAAAGTCTTGATTCAGGTTAACCGCAACACGTGGGCTGGCTGCTGTAATTAACAGTCTCCACTAAAAACAGGAATAGGACTATAAAGTTTGAGCTGATGCTGCACTGTGTGAGCACTAATCACGCTGTAATTGTGGAAACAAATTTCAAAGCAGCAACATGGCCCTCTTTAACATTAGCTGGAGAAAACTGTGCTAAAAAAAAAAAAAAAAAAAAAAAGAACGTGTAGGATTTCACAGAATCACAGATGGTGTGACGTAAAAAAGCAAGAAAGATGGCCGGGTGCGGTCTGTTGTGGTCTTTTCGGATGATGCAGGCCCCATAATTTTAAATTAGTTTACTGGAAATGCTCAACAGAAAGAAACAATAAGTACAGAAGACTGGAGGGGAACACAACTGCTTGGACTGGAGCTGGATCAGTGCATTATTTTGATAACTTTTCTTGTAAGTGCTGTAAAATACTACCGAGTGGATGAAGCGGCGAAAAAACAACCATTACAAAGATGTATTAGCAAAATCAGCAAACTGCCTGGTTTTAAATAGGTTCAACGGAACTGCCCTAGTTTGTTCACATCTTTGTTGTCAAATCTTGCAAAAGTCTTACTTAAGAACAATGACAGTAACACGTAAGCCACTGAAACATGGACGAACTAGCCTTTTCCTTCAAACAATTCATTCAAAAACTTAACAAAACAGCGATCACCTGGAGAACAAAGTAAGGCTTCACCATTTTTCCTTGTTTAATTTAAACAGTGATAATTTCCTGGAAAGGCTGACACAGAATTCTTTAATGCACACGTCTTCGTATCTCAACGTAAAAAATAATTAGGGTAAAAAAAAAAGACACAAAGCAGCATCTGTTTGTTCTTTCAGATGGAATCAGCTGCCAACATCTGGTCACTGTCTGGAGAAAAAAAATGAAGCCTATTATGGATGCACACCTCCAAGCAACAAAAGGAATAAAATGTTTGAAGAAGTATTTTAGTTCCGCCCGCTTAGAATGTGTAATACTTCTGCTGTGTGACCGCCTTGTGACTGTTCAGACTTTCCTTTTACGCTCCACGACTGGTGACTCAGTGATAAACCTGAGGCCACAGTTAACTAGAAAACCCCAATGATGGCTGACTCTGTGATGTTCAGTTGCTCGTGCTCAAAGGAGACCTTAAAAACCTTGTTGCAGTCAAGTGTAATTGCCTGGAAAACCACGCAGGGAAAGCATCCTCATCAAAGAGCATGCTGTTACGGCGTGGATTCTATGGCCAGACACTGTTGAATACAGAACAAATACATATGTTTTGAGTTTTAAACACACACTGTTTAAACCAAAAAAAATAAATAAAAGAGAAAAAAAAGAGGTCAAATGCAATTTAAATTTATATTGCAAAAATTATCGTTTAAAGAAATGCCCCCTCGGATAGCCACATGAAGAGAGTGTATGTCATTCTGACGTTGAAGATGAGAGTCTAGAGGTTTGTGAAAGTGCTGACAGAAGAAGTGAGGGAGGGGCTTGAGCAAAACCAAAATCTGGGCCATTGCTTCACAGCTCTAACCTTGGAATATGTCCAACCTGGCCAAGTCCAAATAATAAGTGGCGGAAGTGGATAAAAAGGAGAAACAGGAGAATATTAAACACACACACACAGAAAGCTCTCCTGATATATTAAGTAAATACATTTGGAAATAAATGATTCTGCTGTTGTACAAAACAGCAAAGACACTGGTGCTGATACTGATTCGTTAACAGACCAGCAACCACACACACGAATGTTATATTGAACCAGTTTATTTAGTTGGATAAAAAGTGTCATTAGGCAACACAGATGGCCGGCTCTGATGAGATTCCACAGCGAATAAATTGCTCTCAACATGCAACGTGGGCCGATGAGGTGTTAACTATTCCTCCTTTGCCATTTTGTCATGTGTTATAATACGTAATATTTAATATTTTGCAATAGATTATTGTGGTAATGAACAAAATGAAAATTATTATACCCGCAAACAATTTAATTTACAAATGATTAAAAAGATTAAAAAAATATTTTTTTAATAAGGCTACAGACCCAATAAAGACAAAATTAATGAATTCATTTTTCAGTTAAACAAGAAATCACATCTCTGCACAAGTTCACTGCACAACATTCAAAACCAGTGAGGAGCAAAGAAAGAAGGCTACAGGTGTTCCCGCTGCTAATATTAGCTACATTCCACAGCCAGCGTGCTGACCAACCCACGCCCATGATTCCACATTTACAAAAACAGTTACAATGTCCATGTAGACTCTGATTGGAACATAAACTGGGATGATAAATCTTTATCTCTCCCTTTGGTTTTATATACTGCCGGTTGTGTATTGGCACCAACACTGTGTTGTCTGGGAACTGGTGACGAGTAAACACCGATATAAGACGGTGTTACATTTAAAGCGTATGTCTTAAAACTTTCCCAGTTTCAGCCACAGCCCATTCTCTTCAGTGGGCAGTGACTTGCCCCCCCAGAGTTAGCTCGAGTGGTGACTGTGTGGTAAGACACCTAATTCTTTTACAGTGATTCACTGACCATGATCCTAAACAAAGGGTTAGACCACTCTGAATGTGTGTGTGGTTGTTGGCAGCCGGCCAGCGGGCCGTGTGTGCACTCGGCATGGAGCAATGAACTTGCCATTCACCTTTGTCATTTACACTAAAGACACAGTAAAACGAGTCCATCAGAGTTAGACTAGTTCAAAGAATACATTATAGGGGCTGAGCTTTGATCATTTGTAATGTAAAAACACAGATGCTCTGCTGATTATTTTTGAAAAGGAAGAAAAAAACATGACCTATGAAAATGTACCATAAATGTAGGTAGATGCATTAAACAGAAACAACAGCTAAAAGGGAGGGAATTAGACTGTAGTGTAAAATTATATATTTGAAAGAAAGTAAATGGTGAAAAAAATTTCCAAAACTGTTGTTTAGAAAAATACTCTAGTTTCTAGAAGAATAACTTTTAATTCATTCTTACTCTCTGGAGTGGAAGGAGGACGGAAGTAACAGTTCTCCAGTCCATCACAACATATGATTCACACTCATTCAAACTCACACACATATATATATAGATAGAAATAAAGTAAAGTACGTGCTTTTGTATTCCGTGTTGTCTTGTCAACTATCAATGGTGAATTACATCCAATCGAGGCTATAACATATTTTAGTTTTTTAGAAGTTTTTTTTTTCCTGTTGTTTTGAGAAAGAATGAAGTTTTTTTTTTTCCTGTTGTTTTGAGAAAGTGGAGTCTCAAATAGCACATACCTTCTGGCCTACACCAATACCTACAAATACCGGGCCAATCTTTTATGTCCTATTGTTCTGATGCACCAGAACGATTCAATATTAAAAGGTGTTTTCCAAAGTGACAGTGGGGGCCGAAGCCAACAGCTAAATCTGTCTCTGTGGATGGAAATGTGAAGAGTGGCGTGAGCGGCTATGCTGTGACGTAGATCCTGTAATTGTTGGAGAGCAAAACCGTGGTGATAGTGAGGGGAAGGTGAAGGGGGGTCGGGGAGAGGGGGGTGTTGGGAGGTTTACTCTGGTATAATACACACCATTACATACAAAGCATTCAACAACATCAACGAGATGAGGTCATTACTTGAAGATAAACATGCACGAGGCTTTGGGAGAGTCTCCCTGATGTAATGATTTAAGACGCAGGACAGTTTTACACATCCTCAGCCCCCCCTCTGTCCTCCAAAGGCCATTACAGCCTGTGTAGGAAGGAAACACCTATCGGGTAGAGACCAAGAGTCAAAACAACAGCATCGGTATCTGCAGCAGGATCAGCGAGAGACGTTTTTGATATTATTGTTGTTAACAGTCAACTGTCACGAAGGGTAGACAACACCTGACAAACTGCTCTACAACTTGATACATTACTGACAAATGTTTATTTTTAGTTGTTTTTTTATTAAAGACATCCTAAAAAATGTATTTACTTATTTATAAAAGGAAAAAGACTCATTTCATTTATTTTATTTCAATGGCTGCTCTGCTCCGGCTGTGCTGCCTCCTGAAGCAAACTGGTGAAATTCTGCACATCAGCAGCGGTCATTAATTGACTTAATTAATTACCATTAAGCGGAAATGGACCGTAGCTGGATTTAATTAAGGTCTAACAACCCCAACATGCTAACAAGCCAACTGGAGGACTCCCATGGGAAACCAATCAGAGTGTATCTGAGAATGAACACACCATCAGGTTCAGAGACTGTCAGTGATCTGCTGGCACTATGGCTACTGACAGTGACTCAGGGGAAACTACAGCTGAGTCTGTTTTTAAACCAACGACCTCATGTCACTGCACTCTGCCAAGCTTATGACCACGGAGCCAATTAGCAGGAAGCAAATATGTTATCATCATCATTAAGATGGAGATCAAGTGAAACTGATCAGCACCTTTTTACGTGAGTAAATGTGTAGTAAATAGATGTAACATTTAATCTTTTTAATTTATATTTTATAGTCTTAAGGATTCCTTGTATGGCTAATATGATCATTTACATACAATCTACAATACTTTAGTTTCACAAATGTTCAAACTATATGATTTAAAAAGATACACGACCTTCAATTATTACTGTATTTTGAGCACGGAAGTGATTCAAAAATTTTACTGGAAAAGCTACCCTAACATTATTTCTACTACAATCTAGAACTGCAATAAGTACTACAAAATAAGGCTACAGTTCTGTAGCACTCCTCAATCAACTTTCCCTTTGTTGCAAAAATTTAAGACCTCTAAAGGCGAACACGTTTTATTTTTACTGTAACTTGGGGTAAAGTGCTCACAGCACGCTGAGGTTTCATATTCTGGCAGTGACAGCATGTCACATGGGACAATCACAGATCAATAAATCAATGCTGTATCTTGAACTAGGTTTGTTAGTTTAAAGGTACATCCTGCCTGACAGCTAATAAACATCCTGCTTATGTTGTAGTTAATTAATATCTTGCTTTTTTTTTTTTTTATTAAATTTTTTCTTTTTTTTTTTTTTATTAAATTTTTTCTTTTTTTTTTTTTTTTTCAGCCAACTTCATGTTCATCTGTTCATCACATTATTAGATCTGTCAAAGCCGTTGGGAACCACTAACAGAAATTAAAATGTAACTTTTGGTCTATGGTACTTACATTTTATATTCTTTAACACCCTGATTCTTAGTCCGGTCCCTACAGAATAGAGTTGGATATTAAATATGCTTTTACACATGTGGGGAGAGAAGCCACAGTCCTCTGGAGGGAATTTTCAATTCTCATACTTGAAGGTGAGCCAGAAAAGCTCTCCAGCCTGAGTCTAATGTCTACTCCCTGGTGGAAAACTAGGCTACAAGTCCTTAGTGCCAACAATACACAATTTCTGCACTAGTGCATCTTTCCTCCGGGCTGAGAGCACGGTTTTGGCCAAAGACAGCCTACCAACTAAAATGGATGAGGATGAGAGCAAAAAAAAAAAAGATGTGTGCCACAACACCACTTGAAAACAACCCTCTCCACATTTGGGGGCTCCAGATTCTCTGGCACAAAGTTGAAAGAAAACACCAAAATGGAAACAGATGTTGAGACAGACTGCTCCACACTGGTATATATTCCATGTTTTCATCCATTCTCTCTGTTTCTCACACTCTCTGTTCTCCTCTTTGGCTAAACACAATGAGTGGGGGTTGGAAAAATGACAGTAAATCGATGGTGGTCAAACTGCAAAACCATGCTGTGAAAAACCTCAGATTAGTCACAAATCCTTGCAGATAAACTCACAGTAGTTTGTAAGTCAGGACATGTTGACATCTGAGTCCAACAAGGAGCAAAGGTGAGTAAAAACAGACAGAGATAACGCTCTGGTGTGACAGCCGGCAGCCAACACTACAGGTGAAGTGATATCATCAGACGGACTAAAGAGACAGTGAAGGATGTTTTAAAGAATAATTGTGGGAAAATTGAACATGGTTGTTTAAAAAGTAAAGATTTTGTTTCTTTAAAGTCTTAAATTGAATTGGGTTGTTTAAAAAAGTTTAAAGATTTTGTTTCTTTAAAGTCTTAATAGGTTGAAGCTTAAAAGAAGATTTTTTTTTTAGAACGGGTGCAGCAGGGACACAGAAAGGTTAGGAAAAAAATAAATAAACTATAAATAAATACTATGGTAGTCAAAAATAGGGCCAAATAAATGAATTCAGATTTACTAGAATCAATAAAGACTTGGGTACTTATTATTATTTACAGATTTATCAGAGATAAAGCCTCATAAAGAGAAGACCGGCTTTTATCATGTTAATATCAACTTCAGTTAGTGGTTCCATTTAGTTACTTGTGGATTTTGGTTAAATATATCAACTTCAGTTAGTGGTTACATTTAGTTACTTGTGGATTTTGGTTAAACGTTTCAGTTCCAGGCTGGTGTTCAGCACAGCCTCCTTCTGTGGTTAAATTTAAAATTTGTTTCATAATAAACCCCGACAATGACACATACAATCGCCAACTTCCTGCAACCACACAGCAACCGTTATCATCTTCTGGTGGCATAAAAAACAGGAAACAGCTTGAAAAAAAAATTAAAATTAAATATAGAAATAAAAAAATACTGATACATAACATTAGTTTTAGTTAATAACAAAGAAATACATTTACTAAATCCTCCATTCTTCTGCTGTCCTGATAACACACCAGAGTGTTTATCACTAGTGTTTAACCAGCCAACTTCAACTGACACAGCTGACTGGGAAGTTTTCCTTTGTTTTCTAACCGCTGAATGTGGTCCCAAAGGAAATGCTCCTATTAAAAAAAAAAAAATCCTCCATTCTTCTGCAAACAACTTTCTAACATCTGTTCCTCGTTTCTTGTGAGAGAGGATGTTGCAGGGACAGCAGAGAGTGCGGGGGCCGAGGAACAAGAAGGAGAAGGGAAGAGGGGAGGGAGGTGCTTTCTCCAAATCTCTAGAAAACGCAGATTCCAGCAAAGACAAGGGGAAGGTGACGGCATACATCCCACTTTACACAACGTTGAAGACCTGCTGGGAGAGGAGGTCAGAAGTGGAACTGCTGCTGAATAATCACATGAGCAGCCAACGCCTGATCGAAGTGCTGAACAGCAGAATTTCGTTTTTTTTTTTTTTTTCACTACACTTACTGATAAAATTGATAACCGTACAATAACCACATAATGCAATTGCTTTCTTGGACCATAATCCAAACCCCAGAGGTTTTTTGTAAATCCATTCTTTATCTTTGAGTTGTTCTGTAATTATTAAGAATTAAGAATTAAAAGGTAACTATTTTAGAGACGAATCTAACATTGGAAGGTGCAGTTATACTTGCCATTTAACTTGAACTAAGAAGCACTGGGGTAAAAAAAATGTGATTCTTTACCCCATCAGAAAGAGTATTTTTATTCAAAGGCCGAGTATGCATTTATTTTTTCATGTTTATAAACGATATGCAGCTCCCTATCCTGTCCTGCAGGAGGTACTATGACTGCAATCTGAATGTTATGGGTTTATTCTGCTGGTATATGTCTGTACTTGGCTAAAACCCTTAGCATTCGCTCTTTAAAACATCATTGCTCCAGAAAATTCACATCAAATATTACACATAAAAGAAAATCTTATACACTGAGTATTTTAGGTCTTCTTCTTCACTGCATTTAAACCACAGGTGACATACTTTTAGTTGTATTACTGCCCCCTATGGTTCTTATTTCCTCTATGATTGGAGTTGTATCTTAAACACAAAACACTTTTTCTTTTACTATTGAGTAAAATTATTTAAGGACATCTTCATTTTGAGCTTTCTTCTGAACATGTTATCAAATATTATCTTTTAAATTTTACAGCGAAAAATTAAGTTTGAGAAACAGAGCTGAAACTTCCTATTTTAAAAAAACTGTTAATACTTTGTGAACTAATCGATTTAAAAAATGTGTTATGGCAAGGCCCTACATAATTTTTATTAATAGAGCTATGAAGCTAACACTTGGATTAAAAACTTGTGTTTCATATAATGGTCCAAGACCAGTTTGAAACTGGAGATATGAACCTGAACTCCCCTCAATGGGACACTGATAGTGGAACACTATGTTTCTGTGTCTGTTTCTCCAACTGACCCTCTGCTTTACTGCAGACTAAACTAGGAAAATAACTGCCGAGTGCTCTCTGTACCTCAGCCTGAAGCAGCTTCAGATGGACATTAATCCTTTCGTCATAAATTAATAAACACAGAAAGAGGACAAAAAGCCAGGACTCACTCACCTGAACCGAGGGGAGTCTTTCAAACACTCCTCGAATTCCACAGTTATCTTCATTTTTTCGGCCGCGGTGAGTGACTGCGGTCACTGTCTCCCCGTGTCCCCGTCTGTGTCTGTGTCTGTGTCTCTGCCTGGACATCTTTGAATAAAGACAATAATCCAGCCTTTGGAGTCTTCGCGGCTAATTAGCCTGTGTGCTAACGTCCCTCCGCCTCGGTAAGCGCCGCAGCTGCTGGTTTCACTCTGTCACTGCTCTTGTGAGACACACGGACTCACAGGCTGCAGCAGCAAAGACCCACCAAAAGCACACTTTAGGTTCACGGTGAGATTAAATCCTGAACACGACTGACAACTGAGACGTACAGGTCCTCGGAGGAAGCAGAGGAGAATCGGCCGGTGGCTGCTTTAGGTCATAGCAGCCTGTGGGGGGAACAGCTTTTCCTTCTGCCTGATTACTACACACATACACATAGAGATGGTCTGTGGTGAACAGACGCATCATCACCACCCTGCCCTCAAGAGACCGCGGACTCAGGGGGTTTCCCTCTGAAAAAAACAAAACATGCAGACGTGATTAATCTGTGAATATCCATAAAATCAAAGACAAATGTTCGCATACATTCACATGATACTGGAAATGTGAGTGAAAGCCCTAAAAATACAAGTAAAATGTCAGTTGGTTATTTACTCAGTAGTTTGTTCAACTGGACAACGTCTAAGAAGTGTTTTTACTGATTAACTTTATAAAGTTTTTAAACACGAATAAGTTGATGCTTGTAAAATGGTTCAAAAATGTTTGTATGGGAAGACATTCTAAAAATCGCATAAGGCTAGCAAACAAAATAGATAGATAGATAAAAAAATACAAGAACTTGATGAAGAATCTCAAGAAACTCCAATTGCACAAACGTAAAGATAAACAATTTTTATTATATTATATTTATATTATAAAAGTGGACATGTTTTTGTGATGAAGGTTTTGGTGATATTTATCGTCAGTTACCGAGCGCTCTAATTTAGTCGGAGTGAAACATCTGTCTCTTAATTCACGATCTCTGCAGTTGACAGGCGCTTCCTGATCCACAGGAATTAGTGTCGACGTAGAACAGACGCCCTACTTTTTTTTTTATTTCCTCTACTACGATGTTTGTAGACGGAATTATTTTTAATAAATTATGGATCCTAACCAGAAAATCAAAATCCACTTACATACGATACATGTGATGCAAATAAATGTTTTCCCTAAATGTTGTATAGTTATTCCCAGTTTACTGGAATTATGTAGTTGTTGAATGAATGCGTAATGATGCGTTCACGGTTCAAACGTAAAATCCTCACGCAATGCAAACACGCAGGATAATCCTTGTGCGATCATGCTCTCCTGTAATATCCCCTTCAGGGTAGCTAAGAAACCCAACAGGGAATGTCAGAGGTTGTGTTCCAGCTCCACCTAATGGTAGGAGCAAGACACTAGCACACAAAAGTACATTAAAAAAATATATCACTACAACAACACGACAATACCAGTGTCACTGGGTATTGTCTCCAGAAGTCTACGCCACCACATGTATAATATGAACCTTCATCACAAAGACATACTAATAATGTGATTAAATAAACGTTTTTGAGTACATAATTTAATCAAATCAGTCTTTCAAGTTTATTCAAAGACTCACTTCCAATATATTTTTAATATCCACCCTCTGAGTCAACATTTCTTTGTCAATTTGCTTACTTTTAGCCTGTTGCTTATGGGTGCAACACACAACAAAACCTGACAACCAACATCTAACAACATCTGTTTATTAGACAAACGGAATTCACACAGTCGGGTGATTAACAACATGCGAATGGTAAATACAAAAAAAGGACATGATTTAATATCCTCATGTTTTTGAGAGAAATTCAGTGCAATGATGGGGCTGTTGGACAGTCAAGTCACTCTTAAAAAACAAACCACAGACAAAGAAAAAAAAGGACAGTAAAGACAATTATCTGCTCACTTTACACACACACGTTCATAATTACTAAAGAGGCACATTAGACAAGTAAGAATCACCTGAAGCGAGGCGATCACATCAGTCATGTTCCGGACGACGCTGTCCTTTTGTCTTACATGTGAATATTAACAAATCATCTCAGGTCTCTCTGCTGCTGTTGTCATTATCTTTTTACAAACTCAGTGACTTATTGGAAATATCAACAGTGGAGTCAAATACTAATTCCAAACATGTCTACATTTCTGTGTAACCAATATGAAGGTTTTGTCCACACACAAGAAAAGCCACTTCATTCAAAAATGAACGAAACAAAACAACAAAAAACAGGACATTTTGTCTTGTTTGTTATCTATGGTATAAACTCAATTCCAATCAAAGGTCATTAAAGATTAGAACAAAAATTAAATATATTCAACAGAGGCAAAAGTCTCCGTCATACATTTCAGCCATAGACAATTCTATTCACCCTGCAACACATTCGAGTGAAATCTTTTGTCTGCACAATAAGAATTCACAGTTCTTTTCTCCTTTATTCTCAATTTCTTTTTACATTTAAGACTCCTATTGCTTTAACAAACCCCAAACATTACAAAATATTATTTCAAACATGATCTGCTCAGCTCAATCCTGTCAGTAGCATCGGTTTAATTCTTTCTCAACCTGCCCAGCCTTCATTACACAAAAAGCTCATGAGTTAGGTCAGTCATAAATAAACGTTAAATAGGTGATAAAATAAAAACTTAATTATCGCGTGTCTAATAATTATAATGTGCACACAAATTGGTGATGAGAAATGATCCAAGTTAGAGCTGCTATTTGGTCACATCTACACAAAAAGCCAGTTTCCCCATGTTTGCAGTAGCATCGCATTGCACCTCAGATGTGAAACATCAGAACTCTGCCCTGTGAACTGAAAACAAGTCATAAGCGCTTTAATCTTTAACAGGAAATTTATTATGAACATTTCCTGTAAGCGTCTTTCACGGAGAAAATTCAAGGAGGGAAAAAGAAAATACTGAGCCATAACTGCTTTGTTAAAAAACCAATTGCCTGATTTTAGACTGCTGGTGTACCATACACAATATTCAATGAAATTTAGAAACTACCTGTGGTCTGGATTTACAGGATTCAGGTAACTTCGGTTACTTTCCTCGATTTAAAAATGTCACACATAGGTGACAGACATAGTCAGAAAGAGGGGGCCAAAACACATAAATATGGGTTGTTGTTATTTCATGGTCACAATACCCATATGAAAGAAACACATGGATACAACTGTTGGATACTACACATCTAACTCTGCTGGTGCAGACTGGTTTCTTTTCCCAAATTTTGGAAGAATTAGCATGTGATGTTTGCGGGTGCCGTAGTACTTAATCGTTGCACCTGAACAATCAACCATTGGAACCAGGATGTAATTGGAATTGAATAAAAAAAAATTTTGGTAAACACAACCTTACATCATTTAACCCCAGTATTCCTAAATACTGGTATAATTCAAAATAACACAGAATTAGTGTCAACCCACCTATAGAGGGCACAACTTCTTGTTCAGGAACCATTACTGCAAGATATGTTGTTAAATACTGAGAAATTGTATATGTAGGCCATAGTACAGTATATAGGACAGTTTAAATCAAAAAAAAGTTTAATGGTTGTTATGCTACACACATGGAACAGTCTCGCCATTGAATGAGCAGAAACCAAGCACTAGCATGTTACAGTTAACTGGAGTTCACATAAACTACACTGTGGTTGTGAGTTGGAAATATGGAAAGAAACTCGTTAAAAACTTAATATTGTGATTATTTTCTACCCATAATACATAATCACTACTATAAGAACTAATTCATAATTGATGGCACAGTAAAACAAGAACAAAATGTTATCATTCATCGGTCTGTGAATGGGGATGAAACCAAAAAGAGAGACTTGATATTCAACTAATAGAGACTGAAGCTAGAAGGAAACGCATACGTACGTGTGGGTCACAGGTCATGAAAAAGTTACATTAAAAGCCTTCTGAAGTGCAGCAGGTACAGGAGACATCCATTTAGAGACTGCAGGGATTCCCTGCTGTTTTTACAGGCCTGTCATACTGGCTCTGCAGAGGGAGACTGTGGGGGGGCCAGATGGGAGTTCTGTGAACAGTGTAGTTTTAGAGGCTGATCGTCCTTTTAGGGTCAGAAACACACACACGTCACGTCAGTCTAAAAGAGGTGGGGGAACTGAAACTCTTGGCAACAGGAGAAAAGGGAGGAGGATTCAACAGTCTTCACTCATTTGTTCTGATCCTGGGAGGTAAAATAAACAGTGTGTTTCAAGGGGGTTTTATTGCACAGTTCTATGGAATAGTAGAGACAGTAAAGGTGACCGGAGGGTTATTGGCTATCGGGGTGTGTATTTGTGAGTTTCAAAGCGGTGTGTCTACTCTACAGCTGAGTTGAAACACAGCGCAGTGGCATTGTCTGTCTGGATCGGACACACAGGAGAGTTGACCTCACCTATGAGTCCAGAGAATCAGCTGGAAAGAAAAGACAGGAGACGGCGTAAGACAGACTTGAGATAAACATGATGCATGAGCAATGACTACCTGAAGTATACCCAAGTACAACATGTTCATTACTGTGTGTTAGCATAGTGGTGTCTAATGCAACCTTAAGAGAAGAAGGTCATGTTCTTTATGCAAATATTTCTCCTGATTTACTGAAATGAATTTACAGATGATGATAGATGATAATAAATAGTGAAAATAAAGATGTCTCTACTTCTAAATAAAGAAACAACTGTACTGTACATCCCTACCAGACTCCACACAAAGGAACAATTTCTTTCAAAACTTTAACAATTTTCAAAGTTAAGACTAAAGTTATTGCAATTTAAGGAATTGCACAAACTTTTCTGAAAAGCTGGACTTCGTTCTTTATACAGATCACTTCTATTTTTACGACTTCAACAGAGGACAGTGAGAGGAGCCTGTGGATTCCTGATTCGCCAAATCCAAGGACAGAGTCAAATGGTAACTGAAAACTGAAGAGTTGTTCTGGAGGGACATCCAAATTTGATTGGCTGGTAGAATCCCATGGTCGGAAGCTCAGAAGCAAATCAATACTGGCCATCAAGGACAGTATAACAACACACTTGCAGGTGAACTGTATACATTTTCCTAAAAGGCAGGGGTGAGGAAGGTGTGGAAAATCAACAAGGCCACTAGTCAGTCCCGTCCTGGTGCAATCTAATCTATTATTAATATATATGTGAAGTTTTTCAATGAAACTTCTTCATGTAATAAAAAAAAAAAAAAAAAAAGACTTCTTCATGTAATAAAAAAAAGGTCAGAGTACATTCCAAGTAAACATCATTAAATGCACAAGTTGCTTGAGTCAAGTGACAATCACGGTCCTGTTTACCTGGTGCTGCTGCAGACATGTCTGCATCTGACCTGGACATGTCTATGTCCCCCTGGAACCCCTCAGGATTAATTCTGAAGGCATCCATGTCTGCTTTGGACCTCCCTGTGTCGGCTCTGGACCTGCCTGCATTAGGTCTGGACCTAACCGAGTCTGCTCTGGTCTTTGCTATGTCTGCCCGGGGCTTCCCTGGATTTGCTCTCAACTTCAATGATTCCACTTTGGACTTCCCTAATTCTCCTCTAGACCTTCCTGTCTCCACTCTGGCCCTTCCTGTGTCTCCTCTGGCCCTTTTTGTCTCACCTCTGAATCTCCCTCCGACTGTTTTGGACCTCCCTGGTAGCTCTAGAAAACAAAACATAGGCTCATCTAATTCATAAAGACTAATATGACTAATTTAAAAACTATATTAAAAAGGATTTCTCAAACTGAATTATGATAAAAAACCATTGATGAAACAATATGCAGAAAAAAGATTTAGTTGAAGCTGGTGTGGTGACAGACTGCATCAGTGAACTCACCTATTGCTACAGTGACTAAAAATAAACCTGTATGGTTGATCTACAACAACAGCACCACAGCAGAATGTCAGGGACTGGAAAATGATTTATCCAAACACACAGGAGGAAAAAAAACACTTCCTGTGTCTCTACCTTCTGGTGGTGGGTCAACACTGATCTCCTCCGTCTCCTCTGTGTCCTCCCTCATCTCTTCATCAGCATCCTCATCCTCTTCTAGTTCACTAGCAATGAGCTGGCGGGCCAGCTTGATGTTCAGGCCCTCGTTGTAGTGCATCTTCCTCATCATCTGGAATTGCTTCTTTTTGGCTGCAGGTGGTAAAACAAATGAAATGGAAATGGTTCATGTGTGAGAATGGAAACCAGCAAGTAAAAGAACAGAGCACTAGAGTAGAGGTGAATATATGGATTTAACTATAGCCATTTCACAATTCTATTATTACTTATTTATAATATTTAGTTATTTATCACTTTAATGTAGTGCGTCACTCCTACTCCTGTCATATGGATATCTACATCAATTTTTCTCCATTTACAGGTAAGAGCGCTGAAGGAATGGCGATCCTGATAACGACATGTGTACAATATTTTATTTGTAGGCACAGTTCTTTTGTCCATGACCATAAAGGTTTGTGCACCTTGTTCTTCAGGAGTCAGCTCCTCCTCCTCCTCTTCCTCACTGCTCTCCTCCTCTTTATTCATGAAGCGAGGCTCTGAGCCCTCTGCAGCCACCAGCCTTTTTTTCAAAAAAAGAAGAAAAAAAAAGAAAAGAAAAACAGGAAAATTGTTTCAGTTAATGACCCAGATAGAAGATTTGGATTTTAATTATTAATTATCATTTTTAGTACTTCTGAAACTAACCAGTAAATAATGAGCAAATACAGTAGAAAGAGGAGTTCAACACAACACCCTGCTCACTTCAGAATCTGGAGACTGTGAAAAAGCTAAAGATAGAGACTTGTGTGGAAACACAGATGGAGGGAGAATTTAGGTGAAGAGGAGGAGAGAGTGAGACAGTGTGTATGTGCGCATGTGTGTGTGTGTGTACTCGAGCATGACACGAATATAACAATTTACTGCCCACAGCTCTCATACTCGTAAAAAAAAAAAAAAAAGTCAAACAGTAAAGGACAGATTGAATTAGAGTTCATGGCTGACTGGATGGTTGTGAATATATGTCACTCTGCCTCTGGGAGGTTTTTCATTTACTGCACTTGTTATCTCGCCAACGTGGCCTCAATTTACCCAGACAGGAGTCTATGTCTGTAGAAATTAAGTTATTAACATTTTAAAAGAAATTTGAGGACGGAGAAAAGAGGAGTGAGTCAGTGAACCAGGTGCGAGACAGAGAGGAAAGTAAAAACAGTCGGTTTAGAACAAAGAAGACTTACGGTGTGTAATTGTTAACAAAGGTGCCAACAGAGACGTAACACGGGCATCAATGATCAATATCCTTTCAGTGATATTGACTCTTGACTCATCCATATTCCTGCATTAATGCACTTATATAAGGTGCATGGCCCGTAGCAATTCTTCATCATCCATACAATCCAGCTGACAGCTCTGAATGACAGATGTACTTCTCCTGATGTTACGCTACAGCAGCTACAAAAATGCTCATCCTTTTTGCCTCCTGCCCTACAGTAGAATATTTTCCCCCAACTACTGGTAAATTATTTCAACCACTGCTGGTAAAAAAAAAGATCTTTTCTATCCTTACTTTTTCCAATTCCAGTGTTAAGCTGTTGAGGCAATTTTTTGTCCAATAAAAGAGAAACAGCTCTGCTAAATATTACAGTGCATTTCTGCACTCTTCTGGACTAATATGGCTCATTCAAGTGCAGCCAACTGACGGTGATAGGCCGAGGAACCACACTGACATTTGCTTCAGGACACAAAATTCAGCTGTTCCTCATGAATATGCAACTTTCTAAATGTGTGTCACAGACAACGACAAAGACGAACAAACTTCAGCACTACGTAAACAAAAGGACTTTTGTCGGACAAACTATTAGCCATCAATATTTACATTATGTTTTTACATGGTGGCATACAATTTCAGTTGAACTTTGCCTCTACATGTAGCATCCACATGCAAATATTTGTGCGTTAGTTAATTTTTGTGTTGAATTTAAACTTCTGACCACTAGTTGATTGTACAGGGACTGTTGTTTATCACAAAGAAATCCAGCAAATGCTTTCACTTCTTCTCTAGTGATTACAAATGTAGATCCGTCTGTTCCAGTTTTCTGGTCTTGCTATGACAAATGTAAAGTCACAAATATATAAAGTGGTTTAAACTTTTGACAAATGTAGCACAGTGCGACTGACTTTGACTGTGTTGAGGGGCTGCACAGCAAATGTAGCTTATCAGTAACTTTTATGAAACACTTTGAGCACAAGGTCATTGGTGTGTGTGTGTGTGTGTGTGTTCAGGTGCATAACATCTGACAGCATGGATGACAGTAGGCTGTATTTGTGAACTAGTGTGGGAGGACAGGGCCTGGTGAACTCCTGCCACTGAAGCTTCCTCTCTGCCTCAGCACTTCATTTACATATTTTATTTGCTACTTACTTTGACGCCAGGTCATCGGCCGGAAGGCCAGTGTGACTGTCCGAGTCACTCAGCCCCTCATCATCTTCGTCCCCCACCATCCTGTAGGGGAGAAATTCACCACAGAAGGGTTAAATGACAAATTAAGCAAGAAACGGAGGATTAGGAAGGAAGGGAATAGTCAAGGAAAAAAAGTTAAGAGAGGGCAGTTAGGAGAGAGACGGGGAAAAAAAGTGTGACCTTCCCTGCACAACATGCAACCTTGTCTGGACCTTCACATCAAATCCACACACACCAACCAATCACCATAAATTTGATGGTGTTGACAGTTTAGGTATTAGAGGGACACTAATTATACCGGTATGTACAAAGTACAAAGAATGTTAATAGAAATTTCATTACAGTCAAAAGGCTCTGACCTGTTGTAAGGAGTGCTTGGTTCGTCAATCTTCATCAGGCCGTAGTCTTTGTCGGCAGGATGGTACGTGGCCAGGATGTTCATCTCATCCCATTTCTGTGATTTCTTTCTGTCAAATGACAGAGAAAAAAAAGGTTAAACATTGTAGGGAGGGTCAAATGGCCTGACACGTGATGTTGCTCTCTCTGTGCAGCAGCTACCCACCCACCAAGACTTCCTCTGGGAGAGAAAGCAACCAGATTAAATCTAGGACTGAACTTGTCCCACTTTCATCTCATAGACTGTATTATTTTGGGAAGTCGCAGATTAAAAAAAAACGGAAATTGACTGCAAGGAACTGTAGGCTATTGTTGAGGACATCAGTTTCACCGAAGTTATGAAAGGAACTTGAGACATTCTATGAGCTCCATTGTAGCCGTTGGGATGTACAATAACGACTAAAATCCAGCAGTTCTGAGATGATATCTGTTTTTCATAGTACATTTAACATATCAATAATTCCATCACTTGGATTAGTCACAGACATGCTGTTATTTGTCTTTCTGATCGAGAAATGTTGTTTTAGGCAATATTTCTACCTGACACCTACATGTGTCAGATGTGATGTATCAACATGTGCACAGAACCGGGCAACGTGAATCAGTTTACACCTGGTGATGAGATGCTTCACTACATGCATCTTAACTGAGAACTTGCAATCAAGTTTCACTTCCCCGCTGGATGGACCCAGACATTCACAGTCTCATCCGGTGATTGGATCTCTATCTCAAACTCCTCGGCGAGAAGTAGTGTTCGCTGCGATCCTGGGCGATAATCCGTATGTAGTGCCTCACTCGGGTGTGTATGCAGTAACACAATCCAGGAGCAGCCAACCGTGCTGCACCTCCACCACAACAATAGCTCTCGTCCCCTGAATTCACCCACTTGTGCACAGACACGTCATCACATGTACTGTGATAAAGTGACAGCGGCACTTGTGTCAGGCAGCAGACTGCAGCAAAAACCAGTACACACTTAACTGTAGAGCTGTAGCCATCACATGATGATGAAGATGGAGGGTGATCAACATAACACTTAGGGAGAAGTCATTAACCAGAGTGAATCATCAGTGAGAGATTAGCTGCGCTATCAGGTAGCATAGTGGGACAGGGAAGGGTGAAAGGTACAGAGCTGTACCCTGCACCAGAGGAGCAGTGGGCTTTTGTTTTACAGTGACGGCACAAACTGAACGTGATACATCTGAGGTAATTATCGCTAATTATCATGTGATACGAAGGCAAAACCAAGAGTAACAAAATGACCTCGCAACAAAATGAAACTCACAAGCGAAACTATCAAGAATCTGCCGATTATATGCAGTAAATATATGCAGTCCTTGTACAAGTCATAAAATTTAATTTCAGTGACCAAAAGTACAAGATTATTTTTAAAACTGTGTTTATTATGGCAGCAGAGCAACATTTAAAAACATGGTTAACATTGTATTTAGTATGTATTTAAATGTATACTGTACTTTCTTCAAAGCGAGTTCAATCACATCAATGATGTTGGACCAATGTGACCGACTGGGTCAGGAACCTCTATCATGACTTGTCAATTTGTTAGTCCTCTCACTGACCAGAACAAATCCATAGGTCGTGATATAAAGTATAGATGTTGGAAGGTTAATCTTTTTTCCCCCATTATTCATTTTCACATTCACACTCACATTCACACCTATGGTCCATTTCAACTGCCGGGTCAACATGATCCCCTAATGAGTTTCTTGGACTATGGGAGGAAACCGGAGCACCTGGGGAAATTCCAGAACACACAAGGAGAACATTCAAACTCCATAAAAGAAAGGCAGAGGATCGGTTCCATGATCTACTTATTGTAAAGGAAAACGTACCAACAACATTTGCCTCGTTGATTGTTTGAGCCTTGTGATGACTACACTTTACCACAAGGGTGACATTTCCTTTTCATACTCTGGAGAGGAAAGGACTCCTTTTCTGGCATTGAGCTCATCGCCAAACAAGCAGGATGAGGCTTTGAGGACAGTGAAAGAACGATTGAGTTTCATGGAGGCATTGTTCAATTATACATGAATGGGTGTGAGACTCATACACCACTATTAGCAAAATAATGGTGGGAGATTCGAGTGTTGACAAAAGTCCAACAATGGCCGACAGCACCCCTGGAGATATTGAGTTTATATGCATGGTACAGGAAGTGTGTTATAATTGTGATTTGTCAAAACAAAACAAAACCCCCGAAATCTAACCACGAGTGTCAGTAATGCACATTATTGCAAATTCTTGTCCTGGTCCTCAACCATTTATAGCCACAGATTGTGTTTGCCTTCTGTCATCTGGAGAGATACTTCAACGTGCAAAGCACTGGGTGCTGCAGCTTGTGATTTCATTTTGTGAGTATACATTTATGTTGAGAAGATGAAATGTTTAAACAAGGACAGATGGCAGGGCAAATGAAAACTTTGTGGCAAATATTTAGTGAGGGCATCCTGAGACTACTGTTGAATGGGTTGGTAAGAAAGAAAATGTGTATTATGAACAGTCCTGAACTACATTGTACTTGCAGGAAAGCTTTGTAACCTCAATATTTCTTGGAATGATTTCTGAATCGCAGTAGATTAACCAGTAGTCCTGCCAAAAATCACAGCTAATGGAAGAAAGCAGAACAAAACGAAGTCTGCAAAACAAAGGCATTATTGTCAGGTTGCAAAAATAAACACAGTTGCAGAACCAAACAATGGCCTGTATTTAAAAAGGTAGCCCTGAATCTACATTGACCTGACTGAGATCTGAGGTCTCTTTCACAGTGCTTTTCACAATGTGAAGGTGATGTAAAAGCTGTGCCAATTCACTGTTTTGACTAATTGTGTGGCAACACCTGATGGAGAGTCCAGGTAAAGCAATTTCCTCCATATACAAATAAGCTTAAATTTAGGGAACTGGTTAACAGCATATTAGAGGGCTAACTGCTAGCTTCAAAAACCATCAAATAATTGTTTTTTATCCTGCTGACCCCATCAGACAATCTGAAGCTACTTCCATACCCCACACCTTTGTTTACATTACCGTGATGAAGCTGCAAACTCAAGTTATTAAAGTATTCTACCCAACATCACAGCAGGCAGAGTCCCCCATGTGGCACCAATGATTTAGCAGCATTTTGCTGTGGGAGGTGTTATTGCATCACCCTGACTGTGAATCATACATAATTCAATCCTGGTAAAGTCATGAAAGCCTTGATGTATGTGCACACCTATTTTAGTATGCCACCATAGTTTGATGTTGTGAATGTGGGAAAGATGGGAATTCTCTGGTGAATGTAATTTGGCAGGAATACTCATACTTGAGTGCACTTTGAAAAAACAACAATGAGATCAGAATCACAGCTCTGCACACAGCCACACACATTTACCCTTTACCCAATGAGTATAGTTTCTAGAAATGTGTCAATACAGGAAGGAGTCCAGCGCTCAGGGATCTCCACCCAGAAAAGGAGACAGAGTTGGCTGAAGCAGAGCAGCGCTGGCAGCATCTCACGGCCACAATGTAGCTGTCAATGACTACAAGTACATGCGCTGTAAAGATGAGCTATGGCTAGAGACTGCCTGTGCCTTTTAACGGCACTAAAGTCCTTGTTGCAGTACATCGGCTTCAGCTATGCTACATGTTTTTGGGAATCGTCTGTGGCTGTGGGAAAGCTGGACAACAAACACCATAAACTAATAATTGAAGCTCCTCACATTTTGTATAAAGCTAAGCATCACATACACACAGTCCCTTGTGGATGTGGTGTTATAAACAACTAAACAGCTGATTCTGGGGTTCAGTAAAATCTGCATTCATATCGATCAATGTGTGAGTGTAGCTGCATCTCTTAACTGTGGCACTGCTGGCACAATGCAGTTTGTTTGACCTGCAATGCTTCTGGCCTCTTCGGAGAGTGTCATAGAACACCCTGGAGCCTTACTGCGCTCCAAGAAAGTGATGGAGCCAACGCGTTGCCCTGGCCAGTACCAGGCTGGAAGACGTGCCAAGCAATGTGCAAAGTCACTGGACCTAACATTTACTGGAGACTAAAGGCCATGTAAGATGAGTTCAGGAACAAATGTCTTTGACCAGAAGTAGACTGGTGGTGGTAACTAAAAGCAACAGTCAATTATTAGCAAGCTGTACATTTCTAGGGCATTTCAAGGCTTGTTTTCTTTGGGTTTTGCCTCATTTTATTCATAATGAAGCTGAAGTGTCTAAGTGTCTAACACAGCTGCCTGTGTCACATTAAACACAAGTGTTGCCAGAGATAGATGTAGTGCACCCATCTCTTCCAATGCCATTGACTCAAAATACCTTTTCAAAAAGGGGGTTTAGTTCATAATAAGGTAACATTTAAGCATGGGGTGAAAAAGAATATGAGACGAATACAATCCACAAATATAGAATCTACTTGTGTCATGAAGTATTAAAATAGAAATGCCCTCTAGCACATTTCCTCCTGCCCACCACATTTTTCACCTTTGTCATTAAAAAAGTCAAAAAATTTTGTGTTTGAAACATGGTTTTTACATTACAATATATATGAAAGTTTGCCAGCATCTAAGAACTCAAATCATGACAATGCGTTGCTATCGACTCAGTCCTTGAAAATAAAAGTGGTCTCAGTTATTGTTACATTTATTAGTGTGCTGCTAGTGCTGGCGTGTCTACAATGCTCTGCCCGCATGCTGTTTCTCGTGTCAGTGGTTTTCCCTCAAGGTTATTTCTTGTAAAGAGAACAGCTTAGATCTGTACCATATACAGTATGTGGCTCTATGTAAACACTACTACTGTAGTGCAAGTTGTAAGCAGTACATGATTAATATGCACTTGTATTATCTGTATTATGTTCACCTTGTTTCAAAAGAGAAAAGCAACATTTAAGTAATATATTCTACTACACTTGATGGAACAACTGATGTCATGTAATTTGAAAATCTCCTATACTAATAAAAGATAGTGATAAAAAAATGATTGCAGACGGCATCCTGTTGTCCTTCCTGCAAAACACCTACCAGCTCTCATTTTAAATATGTAAATTAAACATTCCTATAGTCATAGATTTATAGAAAAATATATTGAGCCACAGAAAATACGATTTTTACTCCATCCCCTTATCCTGCGCAGTCCAGATTCGACCCTGATAAAATGAGAGACGATCCCTATATAACTGATTCAAACTTTGCTTGAAAGTCACCAACTCGTTTACCACGTTTAATAACGAACACGCAAGAAACAGAAAATGCTTAAAAAGAAACATTTGCTCACGAATGCACATGATTAGTGTTTCAACGTTAACGCAAGACAGACTGGGGACAAGTGTATGTAAATAAAGCGAAACACACTGTTGGTTAAATTTAACAACAACAGAAACGACTTTAAGTTAGCCGTAATGTAATAGAGGCTAACAAGTTTTAGCTAGCTGAAACGTTAGTGGACTATGATCTCCGCAAGACAGTAAAAAGCGTTCAAACTCACTGCTGTTCCTCCTCCGACAGTCCAGGGGCTTGTTCGGGTTTCTCTCGGGGCGCCTCCTCGGGCTGCGACTTGACGTTAGTGCCGGTGTTTTTGTTTTTCAGGATGCCTTTAATCGGCCGGGGAGCTGCCATTCCCACACGCTGACTGTCACACCCGGCTCTGCGTGTCTGGACCTCTGCTTCACTCTTACCGCGTCACTGGATTTTTGGTTTCTGTGATTCGTCTGACTCGTCCGGCTCAGATTTGAACACACTCACCGTCATCACTCGGTCCAGAAGCACAGGCGAACCTTAAAAAGGAGTCTGGCAGATCTGCATGTCTGCCCACCGGTTCTTCTCTGACTGACTGACACTCTGACTGACAGTACAACGGCTGTGCGTGCTTCTTAATCTTTGTGTTTCACGGCAGTTTGAGGCTGTCGATACATGCGCTACTGCCCCCTTCTGCACTGGAGTAAGTATTACAAGTATATGACAGACGTACGTTTGTATGTACGTAGGTGGCACTAACCACTCTTTATCTTTGCCTTTTTTTGTTTTACAAGTGATCAAGGCACTTAGAGACAGTAGAAACTGTACTCCAATCAAACGTTTTAGTTGAAATCTGTAATCTGATTTATATAAAACCACAATGTTGTATCAGAACACTTAACTCATTGTCTAGTGCAAAACAACTGGATCCATAGCACCAAGATAGGGTAGGGAGGAGCTGCACAGTTTTCCTTTAATGGGATTTTAGAAGATTCATCTTAGCTTTTATGTTTAAAGACAGACAGACAGACACAATATTGTTTAATAACTGGTATATTGTAACATACAGTATTCATAAAACTGAAAATATAAAGTTTTTTTCCTAACTATTGCCAGTTCCAGATTGAACTTTTGTCCAAAACAAACACCTTTCATTCATTATAAACATAACTGTTATCGTCTATATACATTTTTGTTGTCAACCTTGTAGAAAGCAAAGCTCAAAGATTCTCCTTTTTAAAGTAATATTAAGCATGAGAGAGACTTCATGCTCTCAGTATTATATAAAGCTGATCTGTCCATTCCCAGAGGAGGGAGCGTCTCATGTCATACAGTGAACATGTTTCCTCGCCAGGGTCCTGGCTATGCGTAGCTGCTTGGACCAAGGTTTCTCTGTGAAGGTACTGTATCAAAGAGAAAAATGTAAAAGTAAAATACAACAATCAATTAGCAGTGATGGTATAAATGTCCCAATTTCACTTTCCTATTTTATATTTAGATGATTTGGTTATGACTTGAGAGTGATTTATTTGTTTATGTAAGCAACCAGATGTCCATCCAGTCAGTGAACACGTCAGTGTGGTTGATCACCGTAAGCAACCAGATGTCCATCCATTCAGTGAACACGTCAGTGTGGTTGATCATAATCTTAATATAAAATAATGATAATGAAGTAATTGGAAATATATACAGACCTGGCAATCTTCAGGTAGTACATGGCATTTTCCCTTGGTGTTCGACAGCAGTGCTGAGAGAAGAACTCAGCTGATGTTGTCAGATTATTATTTGTAGAGCAACCAACAAACGTTGCAGTTAGAGTTTTATCTGTGGTGACTGGCAGGAGTGGAACTGTGTTCCCCTTATCATTCTCCTTCCACCTGGTTTGACTCTGGTGTTGTTCTTGTTTGGATTTTGATGGTGACAATAGGTTGTTTATGGGCAGTAAAGACTGCACAGCTTTAGTCGTGATTTTTCTTTTTGCTTCAGACTTGGTTTTTCTAACTTTTGAGGATGCCTGTGGCTGGTTAAATCCATCTACCAGCAACATTCCTCCCACCTTGGCTCTGCGTGGAACACTGCTGTAGTTAAACTGATTTGAGGCTGTTCTTTTCTGCCCCGCTCTGACCCACCGCTTCACCTGGAGGTACATACGCATGGGCAGAGATACATTTGACAGGGACACGGCAGAGAACAGTTTATTGGCCAAGTAACGCACACACTCTCTGTGACCGTGCTGAATGGCAATTTTCAAAGGCTCACGACCATCGGGGTCTTGACAAACCAAAGCCAAAAGGTTCTTGGTGATGAAGAGTTTGAGGATGTGTAGCTGACAGTTCTCCACAGCAACATGGATGGGACACTTTCCAGAATCCCGATGCGAGGTTTGATGGCACCATTGGCGGTATGGATGGACTCCCACTGGTTCCTCAGCATGTACTCCTCTCTCCAGCAGCCAGCCTGCCAGGTCCAGGTGGCCTAGCGAGGCGGCTATGTACAGCGCAACACGCAACTGAAACCTGGAAAAAAAAAAGGATAAGAATAATACTAGTTTGAAAGAAACACACTTAGTTCATATACAACTACTTTGCACTACAAACACGCTGTAACTGTTTGAGTAAAGTCAGCAAAGTGTCTGACCTCATCACTAACTTCTCCTCTGATAGATGACCCTGAACTGCCAACCTGTGACCCAGAAGGCAACCGTGGAGGAAGGTCAGCCACCCTTCCCATGGGTCCAAACGGATTGTATTGCCTATAATGACAAAAAAAAATACATAGATGATAGACTTAATTATTTAATTCAAGCACACAAAGCGAGTTAACCATACCCGCATCGATGGCATAGTCGTGCAGCCTGTTGCAGTCGTAGAGTTGCACTTGACTGAGTGTGCTCAGTCTGAAGCTGCTGACAGGGAGGCCGCTCTGTGAGGACACTGTTGTTTTTAACTGAGCCACAGTCATGTGCGGAAGACTCTCAGTCAGTGTGATGGGTAAGGTTTCTCCTGTCACAGCACTGAACACATGAAGGTCAGGCCTCCGTTTACTCTGAAAACAATTATAGATGACACAGCATCATGACCCACGCTACAGTCAAGGGGACGGAACTGCAGAGATACAAAATAAACATAGATTAGAATCCATGTCCTCGGGTTTGCTGCCACCCCGTGGCTAAAATGACTATTTGTTACTGGACTGAAAAGGGTGCAGTATAATACACCCAGACTAAAATATGCAGACGTTTAAGGCTTGGGCTTTAATTGGACTGTAACCTTTATTTTACTACGAGAACTCCCTGAGATTGGAATTTCTTCTAGATGTTACGGAGAGAAAAAAGAGACATGCGCACACTTTCACACAGTGCACACTGCTCACACTAAAACACACACAGAAGCGTAATTTTTCAATTACATTAAAATGAGTCCATGCTTTTAAATATATTTTTATGAACATTTTCATGACTACTGTGTTAGTATCTACTCTACTAAAGTTCTATTGACCAATGGAGGTATTTATTGTCATCCATTTCATATAATATTGTTTATTTTTATGTAAAATTAGATTTCATTTGTTCCTGTAAAAATATAACTAAACACTTTTGAATTAAGTCAAATCATTTTGTGCTTTAACTATAAAACCCAGCAAATCCCTGGAGTGTTTAAGTTCTAATACCTTAATCAGGCATTCAATGGTACTGCCACTAATGATGCCCACGTCACGCAGAAACCAGCAGTCCTGCAGTGCAGCACCACCGTGTTTCAGCTCCAGATAGCAGTGGATCTGCTTGTCATCGGAAAGTTGCACAAGAAAATTTTCCTATAAGAAGTTTTAGAAAGAAAGGTCGGCTAAGAAACTGTTTACAATACAACCAGGACCTAAACTCATCAGCTAATCATGAGCTAATACCTAATAAATGTGCACTGACACTCTTAACCACAATAGATTTACCTAAAAAAAAGCATTTCCCCCCTGCATTATTTATAATGTCACGTTTGCAAAATCATAACTCAGAGAAAGATTACAATACCTTCACTTTCTGCTTCATGCCCCTCACAGTCAGATCTGAAGGAATGTCAAAAGTTTCACGATAGTTCTCAAAGTGGACAAAGACCTTCATGGTCAGGACATTCATCCTCTGTCTCTGTCTCTCCGTCTCTGTGGTGCCGCAAAATAGACTGAGGACGGAAGACAGACAGACACAATAAATGAAGGGGGCAGGAGTTTGAGGTCGGGATGACAAAACGAAATACCTTCTCAATTAAATTACAACATGTGGAGCATTTTTAATTATAATCTTTCTGTATGCAAGACCACAATTTGTTTCTCTAGTTTTATTTTATTTTTGTTTTTTCTTAAAATGTACTTTTTGATTTTTGCCTCAGATTTTAAACACGTTTCATCAAATATAGTTACTTTTACAGACAGCTCAGAATGAGGTAAAGCTGGTGAAACTATCAGTGATAGATAAAATTAAATCATCACCTCATCCATGCTATTTGTAACAGGTAAACCCACATTTACTTAAACAAAGCCACTTTGGATAGGAGGTTACAAACTTGACATATGTTTGAACACAATATTTTGTGATTACCAAACATGTGGTTACCAAATTTCCCTCTATTTGGCAGTGTTATAAAAAGTTGACAATAAAAGTTCTCATTTTTGGCCACCATTAAATAAAACCCCCAGAAAATGTATGACTGAAACCTCATGTTAATTAATTCATTTTTAACTTTTTTTCCCCCTCAACATAACGATCTGACTACAGGTTAAAAGTATAACCCACTGAAAACAAGTTACATAAAGACATTATTCTAAGTCATAATGAATATCATAAATTGGTAAATTGTAAAATATGTAAGAAAAAATGTTGTTTTGCTTCTGATTCTAGCCAATGTCATAAAATGGACCAGTTATTGTGGCTCATTCTAGTGTCATAAAATGGACCAGTTATTGTGGCATTTTAACATGTGATACAGTACAATTTAATCATTTATGTCTTGACTTAAGTTCAGTTTTAGTTACGAAATAATTCAAACTTTTCTGTTACTGTATATTATCCTGTTTGACAAACTAAGTCTATATCATTTGCTAAAGTGTTTTGAGTTCAAACGTCAGACTGGTGTCTTTGGATAAACCTTGGAGATCGGAGCTGCACAACAGAGCAGTTTTACGTCAGTTCCTCCTCCGCCTTTTATTTTGACACAAAGGTCTACCCGCTGGCTTCACACTGTGTTGTAAGAACATTGCAGTACTTTGAAATGCTCTTGACTTTTACTGTTCTCCTATAAAGTTTTACAGGGTGCAGCTAATCTGCATTTGACCTTTAAAAGCCTAAAGCTGCCTGCTGTGTTTTGTGCTCAATCGTAGCTTGTAGCAAGAGCTGACAAAAATAAGGACACTTCAGACCTTCTTATATGGAAATGTGTTTATGTACTATATACAACTATATGTTTATATGTACTGGCTTTGTATAGGTGTTCCTTGAGCATGTGTACATTTTATGCAGCCACTGTTAAGGTAGCTCTCATTCAATATTTGGTGGGTGAAAAAAGTTCACTTTTTTTTTTTTAGTTTTCTCCTTTGACTTTTTAATGATTTAATTATTTATTTTACAGCTTTAATAATCATCACCTCAAATAAAAACCAAAATAACTGTCGCTTTGATATTAAGTCAATTGAAATGGCTTATAAGTATATATAATTGGTCTTCAGTGTCACGTTATACTGTATATAGTGCAGTATAAGGGTGTTTAGAAATAAATTTAGCATGTGATATATTTTATTGACGATTGTATCTCTAGTCTCAATTTTTCTGTTCCTACTTAAAGTTTAAGGACAGTATTTTTTTAAATACTTACCAACAAGGTAATCTTGCACATAGTGGGTGCTAGAGATTTAATTCTTTATAGTTACGATTTGAAAAGGCGAGTCACAGTCATGAGATTTGATATTTTCTTCCCTACATTACATACCACCGTAAAGCTTTTCCTCTCTATTTTTTTTTTCTGCATGTTTAAAGCAGCTGTTACAAAGCCTGGCTCTGTTCATTTGACTGTCAAAGGCTGTGATGCTCCGTCACGTGGATCTGTTTACGTCTGCAGTCATTGCCGCAAACTCGTTATTGACAGGTGCATTGTCCAATCAAAAACCGCCTTTGGAGCAAAAGGAGGGCGTGATGGAAGTTTACGCTCTCGCATGAAAAAAAAAAACAGAAGCTAGCGGATTATAATGTTCGTATTTACACTCGTGTCGCTCAAGCGGAATGAGAATCGTTTTTAGTTGACTGTAGTTTTCTTCACGTAGAGCGTATTGACGGAGAGCGATGACAGTGACTGCAGATAAACTGGAGACGAGAAATCCACGGATAGGCTTTAAGGTAAAGAGCCACGGTACCAGTGGCCACCTGTGTTAGCATGTTGCTAACTCTGTCTTTTGTTACTGCCTGCGCACTGATTTCGGATTTCCTAAAGTACTTATCCGTATAAATATATTCTAGTAGTTGCATTTATCAAATATTATGTGCAACTAACGACGCTGGCTTATTGAACATTTTGTACTGTTCCCCGTTTTAATCAGCTAGGTTTGAGGGTAACGCAGATTATCTGCTGACAGTGTTTTTTTTTATTATTATTAGCTTGATAAATCCATCGCTCAGATAATAACAATATTAGTATTACAATATTTTAATTATAATTTCTTCTTTCTTGAATGTCTGTAAACGTGTCATTTGTTCCTGCTTATGTTTAGTCATCCTCTAATTACAGCGGTCATGAGATTTTGGATGATTCACTTCCCATTTTGAGAATTTCGTTTTGATGTTCTTTTGGCTTTTTTGCACTTCATGGGATGCTGTAATTGTTGGGGGGGGCACACATGGTAAATACATCACCACTGGAATAATGTGCAGTGTTCTTTGGCAATGGTTTTCTTGCTTAAAACGCCCTTCTCCAGCAGGAGATGCTGTAATCCATTTGGCACCTCAAACCGTATACACCTAATACATTTGGATATGAAGACTATTACACAGTGGAAATTAAAAAAGTGCCCCTAAGTACAGACACACGCGAGCCTGTAGCGCAGGCCTTCATGCTTGTGAAAATATTGCAATTTTTTAGCTAAACAATCCTAGAAAAAAAGTATTTCTTCAAAAGTTACCTGGGTTGTGAACGGCTGATGTTTCTCAGTTAAGCTGCTATAAAGTGACGTTCTGATGTTAAAATATAAGAAAAATCTTTAGTCTGTTCTGTTTTAATTTCAGAGGTAATTTTGTTAAAATTAATGATGAATACTACTTCCCTATTTTGCAGTGTAGCAAAATACTTCTGTAGGGAACAAGTCAGGCATTTTGTTTCTTTGCTTTGCCCTGGTCACATGCTGTTCTCATTTGAAAGCCTTAGGCTGCTCTTATGTTCGCTTCCCCGTCTACAGAGAGAGAGAGATGCTAAGAGTTAAAGCAGGCACCTATGTGACCACAGTTTAAGTCATAATCAAATGAGGCACCAGCTTCAGGTACATTTTAGTCCAGTCATCATGTCCCTACATCGATGGTCTGGTATTGGTGGATCTCACTCTTCACTTTCACGTTTTTCTTAGATGTTTTCTTTCCTAAAACAATACTCTCAGTCCACTGAGTAATTTTGAAGTTAAGACTTGATAGGTAGCAGGCAGTGATCCACAGAAAACAACCATATGTGTCCTGTGCGACGTTGTTGGAGCCTCGATAGATCAAAATCCATAAACGCTGTACAAGTTTTTTGCCCTCGATGCTGTTGTGCAAGGTTGAATTCCTGGATCAAAAGTTACCATTCATGTCTTCACCAAATATTATTCTGCAAGGCTCAGAGCCCAACTCCAACTCAGACCCACAGAGTACACACATGCATGCAGAGTGGAATATTAGATGATTGTAATATCATTCACAGATGCTACGGCTGCCACAAGTCACTCATCTGAAATTAAAATGTAATGCTCCAGTCATTTGACTGCTGACTGCTCTTCTTTTGAAAGTCAGTAAAGACATAATCATTGACTGACAACAACTTTTTTTAATTGTTGACTTATGAATAAAACTTCTGTGTTTTTTGCTCTACAGGTTTGACAACAGCAGGCGGTGGTGCATTGGTGTTCTGCTACAGGCCACAGTGAGGTTTTTATGGTGAATGATAGAGACGGAGCTTAGAAGCAGCTGGAGGTTGTAAGTGATGCCAAGATGTTGCTGTCCCTGGGAATGTTGATGTTGTCTGCAACTCAGATTTACACCATCTTCACTGTTCAAATCTTCGCCTTCCTTAACCTGCTGCCAGTGGAGGCCGACATCGCTGCTGTGAGTAAAACAAACAATTTATATTTATTTATTCTCTTGGACTTTAGTGCTGAGACGATTGAAATGTTTGATGACAGACACCATAATTGGTAGAAAATCAATGTATTGTATATTTTTGCAGTACTCATTTGACAACAAAACAGAGAACTTTGACGACGTTCCTGCAAGGTTTGGCTATCGTCTCCCCAGTGATGGACTAAAGGTGAGTGTGGATGAGCTTTGCTGCCTTTGAATAACTGTGCTGGAAAGATTGCATATTTATTATTGTTTGAGAAGCTGATGATAAAAACCTGTTATACAGCATTTGTTTTTCTGTGGAGTGAACACTGTGTTTGGAGATTTATAAAAACCGCAACAACTCTGCAGTCTAAGATAAATATATTCTAAAATGAATTTCACCTACGCAGCTTTTCTGGCTGTATGTACTGTGGTCTTCACCAGTTTTAAATTCACTTCAGACTCTCGTGTGAAAAGACAAGAACTTGAAATGTTAAAGTGAAATAAAAATATTTAAGTTTATCACCATTGTATATTCTGGTGCAGAAAACCTTTAACATAAAACTTTCAGTCGACTGCGATGATGGATACTTAGTCTTTCTGTCTAATGGACCCCACCCCCCCGTTCTCCCGCCCATTCCATCCAGATATTGATCTTCCTGTTACGTAGCAGGTTGTCTGTTAAGCAGTAAAGATTTTAGCGCGCAGTCATGAAGCTGTGTGTGTGTGTGTGTAATTGTGCTGCACTTATGTAAGATCCTCTGTTATGAAAGCTGGCCTCAGTCTTCCTGTGTCCCTGTGTCCATTGGTGTCGATTTGGGGCAGAAAAAAAAACAGCCTCCACACAAACCTGTTTATACCTGAGTTTATTTGTGTTCTGAAAGTGTGCAAAATCATCAAGAGATTATTTGACTCTGATAATTGTAGTTCTGCAGTACTGCAGATGTACATAATTGCCCAGGGGAACCTCTGGCATCAGAAGAAAACATTGGCCTGTTCGCCTCCAGAGGGTTCCTTCAAGGGAGGGAACCTCCAACAGAGACTATTCTGTTTCACATTACACAACTTAGACAGTTTACAGTTGCCTCAGTGTCTGAGTGCACAACCACTGCAGGCTTGGAGACACCCACGCTATGCAGAGTTTTCTTATCCTTTGTTGAGTCTCTAGAACGTCCATGTCACTGAATCTGTTTCAAAGGACGGGTGTGGCCAGTTGTTTGTTTTTATTTGTATTATTTTGGGCTTTTATATTTTTTACAAGTAGTCTTTGATGGTAGTGCTGGTAGGATACCACCCCTACTGTAGTTTTATCTACTATAGTGTCATGTTTGCACCCGGCTCAGAGTAGGTTTTTTACTTGCTTTACTGCTTTATCTGTGTCACAATTGCCACGTTAATTAATTAGCAGTGTTTATAGAGCAGTATTTCTGCCTTAAATCTCAGTCCTGATTTGATATATTGTGTTACTTAAAGGTTGGATAAAAACAGTATTTAGATTCAGACTCTGTGTCTAATTTTTGTGCTGCTTTCTAACTAAAAGGTAAATTGAGCGCTTAATCAGTATGTGCATTAGGTAATGTCAATTTATGGCTAGACTAAGAAGAAAGCCCTACTTTAAATACATTTCTCTAAACGCTACTTTAGCTTTCAGGACTTTGTATTTTTGTTCTGTTTATGTGCCCACTTTCTTTTCCACAATTATAGACTCATCTCTTTACGCAGTGTGACAGGAGGCTCTTGGGTTTCCTTTGGAAAGTTGTTGTGGTTTGGGTGTTTCAGGAAGAAGGCACGAGGAATGATTTTACAACAGTCCTTGGAGTTGCATACATACTTTACATTGATATTAATGAGATGACGTAGAGACGTGGTTCAGATTTACTGTAAATGATTCTTCAGTTCCATCTCTGATGCCCTTTTTTCATCACACCCTTACTTCTCAATACATGTGCAGATTATCTCAACTTTTCCTATAAACTGTTAAGCCATTCTTCTCTGCTCATTTTTAATACTTTGTCTAATGTGGGTCACTCCCAGAGATGATCTCAGTGTCTCCACATCTTCCTTCTTTGAACAATAAGACACTGTACGTACATCAGCAGGTTTCACTGCTGCGTTTTTCATCTCTTGTCTCACTAACCCCCGGGGAACGCTCCATCCTTTGGAGTGATTGAACTGACCTCTGTTACTTCAGCTGTTCCACCTTTACTCCCCACTGCCACCTTCAGTGTCATCTTTCTACCTCCATCATTCTCATTCACCCACACCTGCTCTGCTTCTGTCGACCTTCAGTCTCCTGCCTTGTGTCCTCAGATTACAGCGCCATCTTTGTTTCTTCGTAGAACTGTGTTTCTGTTACACAGTTGTTTCTAATTAACATGCAGAACATTATGATAATTTATTTATGTAATACAATTATATCTTGTTTTCTAATTTATAACACTGTCACATCATTTATTTATAACCTGTAATTGTTTTTAATTTCCACCACTTGTTACTGGCACTTTATACATTACAATAATAGCCTGTTGTACGCTACCAGATTGGGAATAATGCGTGTTGTTGTTGTTGCTAAGATGCTGCTCTTAACTAATTCCCTCTTGTGCCATTTGTTGAACTGTTTTATTTATTTTTTATTTAATTTAACGCTAGAAAGGTTCTTGGTTTAGAAGTTGATTCTCTCTCTTTGGAATTTAAACTTTTCTACAGCCTCAGAGTCACATTGGCGTTGGTCTAAACCTGTAATTTATGATGTGGCTCAAACATATGACCATACGAGGTTGGGTTTGAATTGCAACTGGAATAATAAATGGCAACTGTGTTTGCCTCGACAACTTAATGAAGCTGGTCGTCCGCTCTATGCCGTGCATTTGTACGACTTCGGTGTCAGCTGTAAAGAAGCGAGTCACTTACATTCAAAGGAAGATTCAAAGTCATGGAGCATGACGTTCTAGTTACTATATTCACCGGAATGACTCATGGTTGGAGTTGACCAAGTAAAATAATTAACCTTTTTTTATTGTTCCAGAGGTGAAGAAAATGTCACAGTGTCGTGGGTTAAACATGGTGTCAAACTTAATCTCTGTTCATGTCATGCCAGGAGGTCACAGGTTTAGGTTGATCTTTGTAGGTGAAAGTGAAAAATCTGAGTGTGTGGAATTATTGAAACTTTAATCTTCTTACAGCACGTCACCGTCAGACTGGAGAGAGATGTTAATTCCACTGTTTTTCTCAAACTAACTCCAGAGCAAATCAGTAGTACAGGAGTCTGATTGCAGTGCTTTTTCCCACTGATGAGATTAAATTTGGTTGTTACAGTGATCTAGAGATGAGTTTTTTGCAACAGAGACCTACTTCCTGTTTTGCTTTATGTTATAAGAAGTACAAAACTCAAAAGAAACAGCAGGAAATATGTTCATTTGATCTGGAAAACCTGCCTGTGTCACCTCCTAAAAATAATTAATAATCACGCCCTAAAAATGTTCGCTGTGACGTGCTGTACTACATGAACTGAAAGCATCATATGTTTGATGAGTCATTTGTCACTTGGTTGAACTTTGACACCTTGACCACAGTGTACTGACCACATATGCAACAATGGAAGTCTCCCTGTTTCAGTCCTGATCACTGGTGACATTACATTTCATACTGAAGCCATTTACGTCATGTTTACTCAACAAAGGCTCATTAAGAGGATAACATCTATAGTTTACTGTGTTACACAGAGCATTTTCCCCAATTATTGTTAAGCTTCTACCTTACAGTGTGTTGGAACTCTTGGAGATTAACAGATAATTGAAATAGTTCTATTTAACCATGACACTACTGGACTTTATCCAAGTGTTTCATACATAAAGCCTGCTGTAAATACTGAATAATTCTAAATGACATCCTGCCACCGGCTTCATTCTCATCTCCATTCCATCGTATTTCCAGGATTTCCCTTTCTTCTTCAGCTATTTCCTGTTTTTTTACCACTAGCCCCTGCTTTCTGCAGTGCTGTTAAAGTGTGTTTTTCTCCTCCTTGCCCAACAGAGGGCTCTCTTGTCCGGGTTTCAGAGGAAGGACGTAGGGGCAGGAACATGAGGCAGTGAAGTCACAGTCAGTGATGTCATTGAACTGCAACACTGGGTTTCATTGGAGGAGGTTTCCAGAGGTGATGGGTCCACTGGTCGATTCCTCTTGTCACAAAAAAAGGTTTCAAAGATAGCTCTGTTTCAAACTTTGGTTTCAAAGGTCAAGGTCAAACTAAGGTTAAGATATAACACAGCCTGGTCTTCCTCAACCTGCTGTTGCACAGTTGTGCTGAAAGGTGCGTTGTGTCACTGCAGCGGTTTCTAATGTAACACCTCTATGAAATCAGTTTGATCTGACAGTCGACGTAACACACTGTTAGACACTAAATTTCCTACACTTGTCTGGTTTTTACACTTTAACTTAATAATTTATTTTCCTTTGACGGGGGAGCGTTTTGTAACTGTGATCCTGTGAATTTGTTTTTTTTTTACTGAAGTCAATAATGTGATTCATGGATTCATAATACAACATTTGGTGTTCTCTCAAAGACTCACAATAGTCCACACATTCCATTTATCACCTGATCCTGACACACATACACCCGCCCTCCATCCTCCCCATCACACACACACACACACACCCACCCACACACACAAAGACAGTGTTTTTTTCTGAACGAGCCGCAGATATTTGGAAACATAAATCACATCAGGACGTTTCCAACTTCATGTACTTCTCCCATCCATCATCTCTTTATCACGTGCTCACTCACTTGTATCGCATTATTTTATTTTTTTCTGCCAGTATTTCAGCCAGTATCTTGATCATTCTTTGGCCTTGTTGTTCTTACCATTGTTACTGTGACAGCTTCTCTTGTCCTCTCACTATCTTCCTCTCGTCACCCACTTCAGAAGCTGTCGCTGGACGTCAGGCTGAACGGGAAGCAGCAGTTTGGTGTGTGATTGAGGCAGAAAAGAGATGAACTTTTTGAAAAACCAAGTTAATAAAGAAAAACCAGTAGCAGGATGTTTGCTCAAACACAAAAGATTTATATTATAACACATCAGTGTGTGTGTGTGTGTGTGTATGTGCGGGAATCCACTGTCTGTGTCTGTGGTTTGTCTGGCTGCATTTATGTGTGGGAATCCACTCTTTGTGTCTGTGGTTTGTCTGGCTGCATTTGTGTGAAGCCGCTGCTCTGTGTGTCTGCCAACACACACAGTGACAAATACAATTTAATTCACCACCCATGCAAACCAAAATCAAATGAATGACCACAACTGGATGTAAATGCAAATACTGAGTCTGTTGACACCAGTCTTGGTTGTAAAACGTTACCTGTGGCGCTGCTGTGGTGCAGCGGAGAGGTTTGCTCTGCTGAGAGAATGAATGAGGTAAAACTGTGTCGTCAGCTATCTTGTGATGTTGATGGAGTCGTCATAATGTGTTGGTACCTTGAGCTCACACCACAATACTTCAGTGACAGTATTAAACAGTAATGTGTGTTGTAGCTGGTTCTGTGTATTTACAATCAACAATCAGAATTTAGCTTTTTTATTTTCAGTTCTAGCATTTATGACAAAAACTGAGAGAGAAAAAAATAATCTACTGCTCTTGAGTTTTAAAGTTATTCCCTCGTGTGTCTGCTCTCATCTCAACAGGGCTTTCTGATCAGTGCAAGGCCTGAAAATGCATGTGAACCCATTGAGCCCCCGCCGAGGGATAACCTGACAGGAGCCTTCATCGTCCTCATCAGGAGATACGACTGCAACTTTGACATCAAGGTACAGTGGGTCCCGTTGCTTCCGTCTGGTTGTGGATATAAACCTAAAGTAGTGAAGTATATTTTTTCAGTGACTTTGTAGTGCAGTTAATAGTTGGTCAGACATTTTTTCAGTAGCACTTTCCTTTGGCCTCACACCAGGTTCACTGAATGGCAGCAGGCGTTGCTCTGCAGATAGTTTAGTTCAAAACAGGAAGAGCTCAGAACATAATTTCCTACACAGGAATCTCCTCTGCCTTCAAGGCTTCCTCCTCTGCTGTGTACCTCTACTGTGGAGAGAGCTGAGGAAGGTTTGACATGTGGATGTGTGGGGCAGAGAAAGAGAAGGGAAAAATGAGGAGGTAAATGATCTGAGAGGCTGAAAAATAATGAGTAGATATCACAAATACTGTATTGATCTCCAATTTAGACACAGAAATACACTTTAAGTTTTACAATGAATGAAATACAAAACAAACTGAAGTCTTCTTCTTCAGTTTAAATATATCATTTATTTCTCCTAATGTAAATCTTCAGATTATTAAAGGTAAATGTTAATGTACCTGTGAACAAAACATTTTCATTACTGTGGAAAAGCCAAACAGTCAGTGAAGGAAAAGAGAAAAAAAAGGAAGAAAAAAAGTAGGGAGTCTTTTGGTTGAAAGGGTGGGAGATGAAAAGAGGGGAAAAAAAATAAAAGAGTGAGAGCAGGACCAAATAATGTGCTGAGAGAAAAGAACGCATAGGCATTGTCTTTTACTCTGGTTCTCGTACTTCGTTTCCTTTTATATATTCACTAGTGGCCCAACAATACACTTGTTCTCATGTTTCCTGCTTTTCTATACTTTTTCTTTTCTTTCTTTTTTTTTTTTTTTCAATTCGTTGCACTGTTGAAACTCTGATCCAGACACACACACTTCGTTGCACAGTTGAAACTCTGATCCAGACACACACACAGCCTTATAAGGTCTGACTGCCTCACAGACCCTACCAGAAACATGTTGACAGACGGAGCAGTGAGGTGTTCCCTCTGCTGGAGTCTAACCAGGCTCCACATAGTTCTGTGTTACACACAGACACAGATGCTCCGTGTTCTCTATACATCACACTGTGTGCACGAACCAGAAGAGGGAGACAAATGTTTTGTGATCTTGTTTTTTAAATTTCATAACCATGTAAGCACTTGATGTCTGACTGGGCCTGGACAGGCATGGCTGGTTGTTTTCCAGAAATCAAAATATTTGCTGTTACTATCGGAATCTAAAATAAAAAGTTTTTAGAAGTTAACAGTTTTTTAGAAGTAGTGTTTCAAAGGAGTTTTTTTTTTTACTGTTCTTTCGACTAGAAAACGTGTCTCGTGCCCTCGGTGTGTCACATGTAGCAGTCTTGTACTTGTACTGTAACCCGATTGTGTACTTGGAGCTGCAGACAGAAACAAAAGTCCGAGTACAGGTCTGAAATACTTTGTTCTGACTCAGTTAATATTGAAGGAATGAACCGTGGAACACAGTCTTGTTCTGTCTTCCTGCTGGGCAGCACAGAACACCAGGGCAAATTCCTGCCGTGCCCTCAGTTTGTCAGGAGATCCCTGGACAGAAACTGGGTTGTTGTAAAGGCAGAATCGTATCAAACACACACACACACACACACACACCAGCAATGGTGATTTGGTCAGTGTTCCAATATGGATGCTGAGAGATGCAATTTGAACTTTGAAACGAGGGCGACCTTAGATTGTTATAAGTTTAATGTCTTGGCAATAAATAAAAAGTATCAAATTAGTAAATAGACAGACATGAACAGTTTTATTATTAAGTGTTAAAATAAATGGAGAATGATTGAAATAAACGATTAAATACAGTAGATGAGCACCAGGAGCCACTGTTACTAACTTTAAAATGACTCTGGGACAAAGATGGATCGTCGTCATCCTAATGTCTCTTCTTGTTCTGTCCAGCTGATGACTTTTTAAAGGGGGGAGGGGAGTTGGGAGGGGAGAGGAACACTCCAGTCGGCTATTGGACAGACATACAGTCTCTTTGTTCTGTGTTATTGCGACATACATTTGTTGTATATATTTGGGTTTAACTTTTTACCTCATCAGAACCTTAAAACCAAGCACTCAGAGACATCTTTCCACCATGGACCCCTCCTCCCCCGACCCCTCCTTTTAGAAAGCAACTCTCCGGAGACCAAAGATTTGCACTTCCTGTACACAAGGCTTCTTCAAAGTGGTGCTGGTGATGGG